ACACCCACCTATAAATAATTTCAGACATATTAAAATATTGTTCATTTATCCTTGTCTGTAACTGAATAGCACACAAAAAAAAGCATTTATCACCTAGACATTTGTTGTTTATTTCATTTGACCTTGGCCCAAACAGAATCACAACTATTAAAATTGAAAAAAAAAACAGCATAAAAAGAAGGATGAGAAAAACAAGCAGGTTCAATAATCTGAAAATGCAGTGCGAAGGGCAAAATTATATATTTTTTTTATGAATGAAACTTTACGGTTTGTTATGAATGGTAGACAATGTGGAAGCTAACGTAAATAAAGTTCTTTTGTATCCATGATACACAATAAATAGTAGAATAAAAAGAAGACTTTCATGTCTGGCATAAATGATTCATACAGTCAGTTTCGAGTTGATCGTTGAAGTGTTGAGATAGGAATAAAGCTTAGCTGGTGCTGGAAAGTGTAAAGATTTGAAAGTCTTAATTTTGTGGTATGAATTGTGAAAATTAGATAATATGACTGTTGAATCCTTGGATTATTGAGAATTGTTAACCAAAAAAAAAAATGGAAATTTTAAGGGATTTTTGAGGATTTTTCAAGCTATTAAAATTTGTTATGTAATATGTGAAAGAGGTTCCTAAAAGTTGTCAACTAAACTTTGATTTTAAAATCTTAAATTTATTCAAATTATCAAATTAATCAAAACATCAGTTAAGGATTAAGGAATTCCAATTTATTAGAGTCAAAACTGTAATTTTTAAATATTAAGAACATTAATTAGGTCAGGTATTTTGATTTATCGATTTTTTGGTTATTTCTTTTCGACTGATAAATTCATAAATAATTGAATATAATTTATTAATCACGGAATCAATGATTTGCAGCCTGAAACACATTAAGGTCAATTAATCCGGCATATATATCAATACTTGAAATTCCTGTGCTTGATCATAAAGCCTCAAGAAGGAAGAAAAAGATAGTTTTATGAATGAATTTATTTATTTATTTTAGCTCGCTAGCGGTAGTCCGGGATATCTCGCGTATATATTCCACCAAAAAAAAAACTAGAATATTAAAACATTTTATGTTACCATCGATACGTCACCAATCATAATGTAATGGAATTTCTTATTTTTAATATGTTATATATTTTATTTACTATTTATCACGATATAAGGCACAGAAGTTCTGAAAAATGCTGGGGAAGAAAGTTTAAAGTTTTTATCACAAACTTGTTGGAATTTTTTTTTTTTTTCTTTGAAGTTTTCTTGGTGAGTTGGGGAGCTTTTTTGAATTGAAGACTTAAGCAGTTTGTCTTACTGTTTGAATGAAAAACAACTAGTTTTACCGTCCTGTCAATCATTGATTTCAAAGTTTTTAAAATGATTAAATTAAAGTCGATAGGCACAAGTCGATTAATCGATCAGAATCTAGAATCAAGTCGAGAGAGTAATGCCAGAGTCACATGGGCTTGGTGCTGGATTTCTATTCGATTAACCGACTTGTGCTATTTGGGAACTGTTCAGACCATAAGATCGATAGCTGCGAGTTGCAAGGCTAATGATAATTTAACGAGAGACGTTGGAATTTAAAGCTACAGTTTATAGTGGGATCCGAACCATTCATTTGATGGCATTTCTGTCTGTAGACTTCAAAAGAAGGCTGTGAGCCCATTTTCAGTGCATATGATTTGAAAAAGGACAAGTGAAAAATTTTCCATGCCGAGTCTTGAACCTATGACCGCTGTGTCGGTATTGCAATAAATAGGTACCGAAGTACTTAACCATTTCGCCATCGAACCAATTCAGTTGATGGGGGGTAAAATCCCCGAAAAATATTAATTCCACGATCCTACGGGATAATAACCCCGAAAATCGCAAATTTTTAAATGTTCCCTTACACGTGGAATTATTATCCTTCCGGGAAGATAATAATCCCACCTATAATTACAAGTGGGATTATTATCTTTATGGAACACGATTAAAATTATGGATTAAATCAAATCCAAAAACTTATTTGTCATAGTGGAATTAATTCCACTTGTATTAATAAGTGGATTTATTATCTAATAGGATTTTCATCCAAAAAAAAATCCCACTTATTAATTTGTCAATTTCATTATTCCAAAAACTTAAATAAGAAGAAAACATAAATATTGGTTGAATGTTTGCTTTTTAAAAATATATTATTCCAAATTGTTTAAAAAATAAAATCAAGGTGGGTTCAAGTGAATTCAACTGATCTAAAGATGTTAGCTATTCCATATAAAACTATGTTCGAGATTCGCTCAAATGTTTAAAGAAAATGTAGCTGTAATTCCATATTGTTTCGCTTCATTCATTCAACTGTTTAAAAATCACAGTTTTGTTCAAATGTTTAGGAGTAGATATGTTAACCTCTAATGGGCAAAATAATAAATTTTCGATTCTTTCCTGAAATTTTCCAAAAGTCTTTCAAATAATTGTAAATTGCCCTTAACAAAATTAGATTTATAAATCTAATCATAATATTTTTTTACACATTTTGCTAAGAAAAATGTAAAGATTTAAACATAAAAAGAACGCAAAATTAAAATTCTGTTGCTCAAATTCTTATTCAATTAAATAGAATTTTAAAATGATGGCAGTTCTGATGCTGTTTAACCGTGTCTACAAGCCCTAAGAAGGTTTCCAATGATTTTAGACCATTTAAGAGATTTGATTGTTTATAATCTCAAAATTTCGAAATTATTCTGATTATTCAGGTATACAGGGTTACTTAAACAAACTGATTTTTCACAAATTTATAGAAAATGTTCAGCAAATAATTAAAATGATTCGTACAAAATTCAAACGAAATATTTTGTAAAATCTTTCAAACTTGAGCTCTTTTAAAGAAAAGCTTAAAATAAAACCTGTCAGAACTAGTGTATCGGGCAGAAACCCAATGCGGATTATATTCACACCGTACCATCAAGAGTCTAATGGATAGACCAAGATTTCCCCAGCATAAGTATGAAGGTATGAAGCTTGATAAGTCAACTGAGCTTCGCTCAGCATAAGTTTGAAGGTCTAAAGCTTAACGAACATTCTTTAAAAGTTTTTAAAAAAATTTTTTCATCCAAACTTGAATTTTATAAAAATCACAGTCAACTTTTGTTCTCTTTTGTTTTGAAAAATTCGTAAGAAAGGAAAGTTTTTGCTTTTTCTGAAGCAACGGCTGTTCCTACCTTGCCCAAAAACAATACAGCTCTTCTATAGAGCAGCACGGATCAAATGTAAAAAAACTAGAAGTCTCTACGATGTCTCGTTATTGAGATTTTTTGCTGATTAACTTGCTTGCTTGCTTGTTTGCTTATTTGCTTACAGAAAGCGTATTTTGCGATTTTCTCGGCAACGTCAAAACCAATTTGAAATCTGTTTTTTGAAAATGATGTAAAATTTCAGGCACAAACTTTTCTTCTTGACCTTTTATAACCAATTTTGCTTCGTTTTCTCAAAAAATGCAAAAAACTGATTTTTCAATCTGAACAAAACCAATAGATTCACACGTGAATACGGTGTGAATATAAAAAAATTCTATATCCTAAAATAGATTTTATATTCACACCGTATTCACTTTATTTTTGTTCAGCTTGAAAAACAGTTTTTCGCATTTTGAGAAAAAAAGAAAATGGGCAAAAACAGAATTTAAATTGGCTGTAGCATTGATGGGAAAATCGCATGATACGTAAGCAAACAAGCATCAAGGCAAGTAAATCAGCAAAAATCTCAATAACGAGGCATCTTAGAGACTTCTAATTATTGCATTTTGATTCTTGCTGCGTTAAAAAGGATAAGAAACAACCATTGCTTCCAAAAAAGCAAAAAACCCTGCATCCTCTATCCTGCATCACGTGAACTCAAATTTTGCCAATGACGAAAATGATAAAAACGTGATTTATTAGTTCCGCACGTTTTAAATTTTGAAAGACTTCATTTCAAAACTATTTGCAAAAACAAAAAATTGAAAATTTTGAGTGAATATGATTTCTTGAGTGAATAGATCTTTGATACATTAAACATCTAGGCTCTAGGCTTTTAAAAAATTTACAAAAGGCATAAAAACCAAGTTTTCAACTTAAACATTCAACCAATATTTATGTTTTCTTCTTATTTAAGTTTTTGGAATAATGAAATTGACAAATTAATAAGTGGGTTTTTTTTTTGGATGAAAATCCTATTAGATAATAAATCCACTTATTAATACAAGTGGAATTATTATCCACTATGACAAATAAATTTTTGGATTTGATTTAATCCATAATTTTAATCGTGTTCCATAAAGATAATAATCCCACTTGTAATTATAGGTGGGATTATTATCTTTCGGGAAGGATAATAATTCCACGTGTATTTCTAAGTGGGAATATTATCTCGCAGGGAACATTTAAAAATTTGCGATTTTCGGGGTTATTATCTCGCAGGATCGTGGAATTAATATTTTTCGGGGATTTTACCCCCCATCCTTCAGTTCAATAGTTAATTTTGCTAATTCTTAAATGTTACTTTAAAACTGCGCTAAATATCTTAAAGCTCCTGTCAACATTTAAGCTTCAAGGAAAACTTAATTCAACAACTCCAATCAGCATAATTCGACCTACATTCTCAATAAAAATTTGCACTCACAATTTGATACAATAAATTGCACATCGAGCATGTGATAATGAAATTCGTACACTGATGTGGTTAGTACCTCAAAAGAATAGAAAGAGAATGTGGGATGAATGTGCATAATTGAAAGTGAAATTTATAGAGAAAAAAAAATATAAATAAATTATATACTCCCCTCGCTTATTTGCTATAATCCATAAAAAATATTTTTCTTCTTCTTCTTCCTTACCTATTGACACACATTTGGCACTTATGCTTATTTTTCAATATTTTATCATTTATTTCTTTCCTTTCTCTTCAATTTTGCATAACCTATTAAATCTCACCTACATAAATTATCAACATATACAATAAATAAATACACACAGTGATTAATACATGAACAACAGCAACAGTAATAATAATAATGCTAACAATAGTAAACAGCAAAATGCTACCGAACATAATAATGAGACTCTTAAAAAAGAAAAAGAAAAGAAGAAGGAAGATGAAGAAAAGCATATCCAGGAAAAGTTGCATGCTCATGCCATGCAAAAGCTACAAAAGGAAAATGAGAATTTAATTCTTATGACTCAAAATTATCAGCGAATGTTTGAGAATACATGTGAATGCAGCACAATAGCTGTTCCATCAAAAATACTTAATAATGCGAAAACTAATTGGATGTCTTCTGAGAAGCTCAACGAATTAAGAAAAAAAGCTCATGATGCTGTAAAGAATCACAAAGTTTTCATACTCAAAGGATATTTTCATACCGTACGAAAAGCTTTGATGGATCGTGGATGGGTGAGTTTTGATTAAGTTTAAAAGCTAGTTTGTTATGGATTTCCAAGATAGTTCTTTATGTCAAGCAAAATCCAATAACAGTTTTCGTGCATTAGTTCAGTCCTTATCAACCTTTTATTCATGGCACACCAAAATTTTTTTAAACAAGTTCAAATGCCTCCAAAAGCAACTGTTTGTCACACTGCTGACGTATTCATGAATAAAGTTTGAGAACCACTGCATTAATCACTTGACATCATCAGCTTTCAACTTTCACTTCCAAAAAAATATCAAGGAACTAATGAATTTATTTTTTTCTAAGTTTTGACATTATTCTTCAGACAAATTTGTCACAACTATAAACACGACATCCATAAAGCCTTGAAAATGTGTCTTTTGACAGTAGAAAAATTAAGAAATCTAAAAATATCCTCAAACGATTAATTTATACATTTTTTGATGCTCGTGTAGAATTTAGAACTAAAGTTTTGGCATTAAACTTACTAAGTTTACTTCATTGTAGGTTGAAAAGATTGATGTTCATAAAGCGAGAGGAGTTACAAACAATTCGGGATATTTACTTGAGGATTTAATTCAAGCTCTACCACAAAGAAGACCTGGTGAATCAAAGAAAGCGTAAGTATCAATAGGCTCAACTGAAAACTCAAAATAATCTTACTAATTTATTCCAGTCACATTCAGAAATGCGAACGAAGTATCATGTCCCGCTTTCTTGAGCATTCACCAATCGACCTATTATGGTGTGTACGTCGTGACAAGTCAGGTAAGTATAAATATTTTTAACTACTCAGATTAATTCAAAATTTAAAGTTCTTTGGCTGTAACAGATTGGACTCACTTGACAAAGAATCAAAATATTCTCATCAACCGCTTCAATAAATCTCCATTTACATCGAAAGAAGGCTTGTGTTCCGCATTAAAGGATTTTCATTGGTATTATGAAGAAGGAAAATCGGAAGCATATTTTCCAAGATGTTTTAATGTTTTCAATCCAGAAGAACTGACAGAGTTTGTTGATAATTTCCGTACCACAGCTTGTATAAGTCTATTGAGATGGCTTGCTGAGCAGCATGAAGAAAAAGGCTCATTTTATTTAATATCTGAAGAAGGTCGAGTCTCAACAAATTGCATACAGTTTGCGATAAACAGATGCAAAGATTTCATAGATTATTGTGTCCACAATGACATTGATGTTGAAGGAGAAGTGAAAATTTGGGAGCATGATTGGGATGTCTTCCTGACTCATCATTATCTCCTTACTCACGAAAATTTAAAATTTCAAATGATTGAGGATCCTTATGCCTCACTTGATGCCTACGTGGATCAAGCAAAACGAATACTTGAAAAAGTCAAAGTACTTTGGCCTCAATCGTCAATTGACGGCACGCTAAATATTTGGATTATAAAACCCGGAAATAAATGTCGGGGCAGAGGAATCATGCTAATGAATAACATAAAGCAAATCATTCAAACAGTAAATCCACCAATTTGTGCATCAAAAACGCGATACGTCGTTCAAAAATATATCGGTAAGAAGCAACAGCCCTGACATTAAACATTTTATTTTTATTATTTCCTCATTCTATTTTTGTTATATAGAACGACCTTTGATAATTCATAAAACAAAGTTCGATATACGACAATGGTTCTTGATAACGTCAGTTCAGCCATTGATTATTTGGTTCTATAAGGAAAGCTATTTACGATTCAGCTCTCAACAATTCAATTTGCAAAATTATCATGAATCAGTTCATTTGACAAATCACGCAATCCAGAAGAAATATGCAAATGGAATTAGGGATGAACGACTACCCGTTGTAAGTAGTTTAAAGACCTCCTTTAAAGAATTATATAAATTGAAAATGGAATGTCTGATTATAGGAAAATATGTGGGATTGTCACACATTTCAAGCTTATTTAAAGCAAATTGGAAAGTACGAAATGTGGAGTGAGAGAATTTATCCTGGAATGCAGCGTGCAATTATTGGAACTATGCTTGCCTGTCAGGATAATATGGATAGACGACCGAATACTTTTGAGCTTTACGGAGCTGACTTTATGATTTCTGAAGACTTTTATCCGTGGTTGATTGAGATTAATGCTTCACCTGATTTGGCACCTAGCACAAGTGTTACTGCACGTTTATGTCCTCAAGCTGTTGAGGATACTATTAAAGGTAAGCTTCTATTGACTTTATCTCCTAGACTTGGTGCCTAATCGTTACGTGTCTTTCCATTTTCAGTTGTTATTGATAGAAAAATTGATCAAAATGCAGATACTGGATTTTTTGACATGATTTACAAGCAAGTGATTCCGAAAACACCAGCTTATATGGGTAACATTCTTTTCTATCCTATCCATGACTAACTCATCATGCCTCAAAATTAAAGAATTGCTTTAAAAGTTCTATTTCGTCGAAAATATCGCAATCCACAATACTTTAGCTGTACTGCAAACATGCTGTCACTAAAATTCTCTAGACTTCTAGACACTCTTTGGTCACAGTGCAGAAAAGCTACAAATTTTATTTACAAACTTATAGAAACTTTCCTCACGCGATAATTGGACTTCCATTCATCCTTCGAAACTTTATAATTTTGCTTTGATATCCATCATGTCATGCAAACATGGTGGACGATAGCACTAAATTACAATATTCACGAATGCACACAATTCATTCATGTCATTTAGGTCTAAACTTGTCACTGAAAGGACAACGGATTGTTCCCAAGATGTCAAAGAAAGTTGAGCCTCGCTGTGAACGGACGGAAAATAAATCTATCCAGTCGATTTATACTCTGGCTAGACTAGCTTCATCTTCGAATAGGATAAGGAGAAGTGTTGCTGCAGGTCCAACGGTGAGTATCCAGAGAAAGAGAGTAAACTAGAGTAGATACATAAGACTAGCTTAGTCACTAAAACAGTGTTGTCCAAACTGTGTGCCGCGGCACACTGGTATACGGTAGCAATTTTTTGGAAATGACGCGAGCCGTATTCTGTGTGTGACTTTGGTCAAAAATGGTGCCGTGTCTCAAAAAAGGTTGGACAACACTGCACTAGAATCAACCTAATTCTAATAATATTTTAGATAATGGACTTCATGCAGTGCATAAACTTCAAATCCCGCCTAGATCGTGAGCGAGAAATGATTCGACGGAAAATTCGTTCATCAACGCTTTACAGGAAGCCAAGCTTCAGTAAATCAGCATTCAACATTTACAACGTAAACGGTGAAGTTACAAAAGTTTCATGCATAACAAAAAACTTAAAAATCAATGAGTACAAGGATGAGCCAATAAGAAAAGTCAAATCACCATTACTCGTGAATGATGAGCAGGAAGATGAATGCACGAATGAGGAAAAGTCAATTTTATGTATCGGTAGCAAGCATCTTGACCTGACATCAAACTTAATGCCACCTCCATTGATAAAATCTGTATCCACATCGACGATCAACTTGAATTCACAAGATGAGAAGCCAATCCAACAAGAGGCTGATTTTGAGCGAGCTATATCACAGTCACATCTATCTCCATCTTCACCATCGATAATGATTAATGGAAATCACATGTCGTCCAGCAAAAAGACGCTAAGTGAAAATAGTATACAAGAAAACTTAAAGAAACATAAAACTGATATTTTACATTCAGACAACGACAAAACTTCTGAAAACGAAGAAGACGAACTTAACGAGAACAAACGTAAAAATCACAATAATAATAACATTATTAAAACTATTAACCATAATGATACAAGTAAAATTTTCAAAAAGAGTGCACAAACTATTTATTGTGGTGCTGTTGGACATAATGTCGGAAAATATAGTGATGCTCAAAAGACAGAAGTTGTTCTTGACGACTTATCCAATAGCATTGTAGAACAATCTAATAATATTACAATTAAATATGATCTAATTAATAATAATAAAATTTCACACAATTCCACCAATGCAGTCTCATCAAATGCAACTAGTACGAATAAGACTGTAAAGAAAAGTGCCTCATCTATGACACGAAAAAAGTCTAAACGATCAGACGTAGTAAAATGTGAATCTGTAAAATCATCAACGACGAGAAAACCGGAAAGTTCACAAATGACTTGATCTCATTTTTGATAATATTAACTAGTTGAATTATTACTCTTTACCTACTATCCTTTTTAATCATCATTTACCCATCATTTTTGCAAAAAAGTATCTATATTCAGTAATGCAAAAGTTGATAAATCTCATCGCATGCCATCATTTTCATCTATTTTTTGACCTTTCTTATATTATTCTTTATAAAATAAGAAAACAAATCCATTTACAAATCATAAATTAAAATGACTGTATATAACAACGAACTAGATATTGATAGCTCTGACGAACGGGATACTGAGTCGGACTTGGAATTGCCTAATATTATCGACATAGAAGGTAAGTTTTGATTTTTTTCTAAAGGTGTCTGAACTCTGATTCCATTCAATCTGGATTTAAAATAATAGCCTCTAAACTTTTCTTATTGATCCTTAAATCCAGTGATTCTCAATCTTGTTCCGCGGAACACTACTCCTAGTTGTCTATAGCAGCAGCTCTTGTTGCACAAAATGATGAAACAAGAATTTACTTTTCTGAGTCCAGGAAATTTTGAGAAACACTGCATTAATCCAGTGGTTCTCAAACTTTTTGGATCACCGCTTTTCTAGTTTTAATTTGAAGTGTCGTCTTGCATTTTGCAACATACTTGGAGGTTTAAGCTACACATTAGACTGTGTCCTGGAACATGGGTTGAGAAGTCCTGTCCTATCCACATTAATAATCCTAAGTTCAGACGCCTTAGTTCATCAAATTAATAACTTTATTCCAACCCCCCTAGGATATAGTTTAGCACGTCAAAAGATGGAAAGGAAACGTCTGTTTCGTTCAAAGAAACAACGCAGTAAGGAACACAAAGAAGGAAAGAAACCGCAAATTGATTTTATTAAAAATCCAATCTTTACCGATGACAAGAACTGTGAAATCTTCAAGGAACTTGAAACAAGAGCACGCGAAGCCGTAAACAACAAAAAGATTTTCACAATAATTGGTGGATATGATATCATAAGACAAAGTTTGATTGAAAGGGGGTGGATAGAGAAGTTGCTTGATATTGAGGCAAATAAATGTACCGTAAATGAAAAGCTGATAAGTGAAACAGTTTGTGATTATGATGCTAGACGTATAGTTTTGTCACATCTTGTCAAGTCAAGTCCAACATATTTTATTTGGCAACCAAAACATTTTGATGGAATTTCATATAAAGGAAGTAATCCTTATAGAAATCGCATCAATCGGATGAGGACATTTGATTATACTGTTAAGGAAGGGCTGCATAATATAACTGAGAATATTCAATGGCACATAATTGAGGATTTAACAGAACTTAATTATCCACGTTCCTATCTCTTAATGGATCCATACCAACGTGAATACTTTCAACAAGAATTCAGACGTTCTTTAATTGCAAGCTTCATATTATTTGTTAATGATAACTTCGATAATGTTTTTAGTGACTCAGCACCAATATCCAGTGAAGTAGTTTTCATATCCTTAAGCAGAATGGAGAAATACATAAAGATCAAGCAAGACTTGTATATTGGATTCGATAAATTACCACATAGTGTTACATTTACTGAATTAATGAAGGATGTCCATCAAGTGATTTATCAAGAAAAGAAAATTAAATTTCCTGAATTCTACGATGAAGTTTCCATGGTCAAATTAAAGACAAATATTCAGCTCATGGCAACAGATATAAATATATATTGGCCTGAATCTAAATATGATGGACATTACAATATTTGGATTTTAAAGCCAATTAATCGTTCGAGAGGATTTGGAGTGCTTCTATTTAAGGAGATTGAGAAGCTATTTGAGCATGTATTGAAACATACTGAAAATAAATACATTGTTCAGAAGTATGTCGGTAAGTTGTGAATCATAGTAATTTTTGAGTAGGTTCCATCATTTCATTAGGGATGTTTCAAAAATGATGTCCAACTTAATATTGATAAACATCATTTATGAACGACCCCAAAGATTTCTAGAAACAAAGCTAGTCACACCTTATTTCTTTATCCAATTCCAGAACGTCCATTGCTAGTCCACAACACAAAGTTCGACATTCGTCAATATTTTCTCACAGTCGTCACTAAAAATAGTGTTAACATTTGGTGCTATAAGGACTGCTACATAAAATTTTCATCACAAGAATTTTCATTAAAAAATTTACATGAATCCGTTCATTTAACCAATAACTCAATCCAAAGATTTTATGCAAATGGTGAGCGAAATGATGGCCTTCCAGAACACAATATGTGGCTATTAAAGGAGTTCCAGAGATATTTGAGATCAATTGGAAAGCAGAATGAATGGCCAAACAAGATTTATCCACAAATTAAGAAGAATTTATTAGCAATAGTTTTGGCGAGTTTAGAAGACACTGATTTAGAAGAAAACACGTTTGAACTTAATGGAGCTGATTTAATGATCGGAAATGATTTTCAACCTATTTTATTGGAGATTAATGGAAATCCAGATTTGTCTTATACAACAAAGACAACGCGTGATATTTGTCCACGTGTTATGGAAGATGTAGTTAAAGGTAAGAGTATTAAGGAATCAAAATCGTTCTGAAGAGTTTTTAAGAAACAGAACTTTTCTCATTTCTTATCTGGTCTTATTTTATGGTCCTAGCTACACTAACGTCTGACCTAAATAGCTAAATTAGATTGCTATTCATTATTCTTTAACAAATATCGTCGAGAATGTCTATTATATCCATATTCCAGTTTCAGAGCCAATATGCTTGTAGTCAATTCGATTTCATTCTCTCGAGACGTCAAGCACTCATATCTATTCTAATAATTACATAGAATCCTAATTAGAATTGAAATGCTGTATCCCTAGAACAGTTCCCAAGTTATGCCTAATATCTACTCAAAATCCTCATAATCTCACCTTATTTTTCATTTCAGTGGTAATAGACTTAGCAAACGATCCATTCTCACCAACGGGTGAGTTTGAATTAATATATGAATGTCAAATAGCTCGACTGACTCCACCCCATACCCAAAAAATTCAACTTAATGTCGATGGAAAGAAAATAATGCCACCGCTTCATGCTCCACGTCAATTTTTCCCCCTTAAAAATATTACAGAACTTGTTATTCAAGGTGAAAAAATGTTGAATCCACTCAAGACTAAATACTGCCGTCCACAACTGCTCAAAATTCATAATAAAGGAGCCAATGAAGCTGACGATGATGATGATGAGGAAGGTTCAAAGCAGAAAAATTCAAAGAAAAGCAAGAAATTATTTAAGCCGACAAAATTATACCGTAGTCCACATAAATCCCGTAATATATTCCAAAAAGTTGTTGTTAAGCCTTATTCAAATGATTTTGTAAGTTATGTTAAAAAGCTTCCCACAATATTACAATCAACCAATCGAAGATTTATAAACTTAAATGATTTAATGAGATACTTAAAAGTAGAATAATTATAATAACAAATATTACATCCTGTGATATTGTTAAGGCACTGCCGCGATGTTAGCTCATTATAATTATTGAGAAATAAAATAAATAAATGCAATGTTTATGAAGTAAAATTATTAATTGAAGTAGTCTTCAGAACATCATTTGTGTAGATTATTTTTGGCATCAAAATTTCTAGTAAGGATTAACATCTTTCGAAATGGCATTTAGATCAGCAAAATTAACACAGCATCAAGATTTGAACATGAAAAGCATTGAGGAAAAAGTCAAAAAGGCAAAAAGTGAAAAGAAAATTTTTATAATTATGGGAAGATATGAAGCCATTCGAAAAGGACTAGTCGATCGAGGCTGGTTGGAAAAGGTTCTTGACAATCAAATGATGTACATCCCACCTTCATCAGAACGACTGTTAATCGCGTCACTTTTAAGGAACACAGACTTTAATTTAATTTGGCAACCGAAGTTTCGTCCAATTAAGACTGATGAAGCTAAGAAGCATATTGTTAATTCCATCTTTCGACAAAGGATGTATGACTTTACAACCAAGGATGGACTTAAGAACTGCGTAGATTCTTTCTCTTGGAATTGTATTGAAGGCGTTACTGAACTCAATTATTATCCAAGGACTCACATACTCAATGATAAGGCATCAAAAGATGAATTTTTTGAGGATTATAGGCAAACAGCTTTTATAGGTTTCATCAAATTCCTTAGTTCCGTTGAAAAGTTTTCTGAATTATTCTCAATCGCTGGAAATGTTCCTTTAGAATCCATTGACTTTACAATACAGAAAATCGAACTTTTATTAAAAATTGACGATCATGAAGACATCGACATGTCAAGGATATTTGATGCTTGTGCTAAATACCCAAAGGATCAACGGAAAATTCTCACTTATATCCACCAAATGATTAATGGAAATAGAAAATTCGTGCTTGTAGATCCCCTGATCATTCAGCAGTACCTAGTTGACATAAAAGTTTGTGCAGACGAGATTGAGCATCGCTGGCCTCATTTACAGTATGATGGATATAATAATACTTGGATATTCAAGCCTCTTGGTAATTCTAGTGGAAATGGCATAATTCTAGAGAATCACTTTCAAAGAATTCGTGAAATGCTATCCATAAATGCTTACAAGACAATCCTAGTTCAAAAATACATTGAGAGACCAATGCTGATTCATGGTAAAAAGTTTGACATTAGAATCTACTTGATGACATCAATACAGAATGGATTTGTGCATATCTGGCTGTATAAAGATTGTTATGTGAAATTTGCAACTAAACGATTTAAGCTCAATGATCTTCACAGGTCCATTCATGTTACTAATTATGCTGTACAAAAGCATTTTATGAATGAACAAGATGCTGTGCCTTATGCAAAAGAAAACATGTGGACATTGAGACAATTGATTGATTATTTTGCAACAATAGAGCAGCCGAGACTGTGGGAATCAAAAATTTATCCAGCAATTAAGAAAATTTTACTTGCTGTAATAATCCCTAGCCTGGAAGTGACGAATATTGAAAACTTTAATTTTGAACTAAACGGAGCAGACTTTATGGTAATTTACGTCAATAAATCATCTTCTTTTATGCTGCTCATTTAAAATATGATTTAGATAACTTACGACTATGAAACGTCATTGATTGAAGTCAATTCTGTTCCTGCGTTGTTTTTCTCAAATTCTGTAGTCGAAATGATAACAAACAAGCTTCTGGATGATGTGATTAAAGGCATGTTACACAAATTCTAATCATCCAATCTCCATTAATTAAAAATCATATATTTCTAGTCGTAGTGGATCATTCAAGAGACTCAAGTGCCTATACAGGAGATTTTGAACTTATTTATTCCCAAGAAATGCCAAAACAGGAGAATTATGCTGATTTAACAATTGTGGGTAGAAGAATTGGACGCAACATAAAAAGAAGCGAATCTATAAATAAGCAACTGATTGATGTAAAAATGAATACAAAAACAATTCAAGCATATAGGAAGATAGCTGACAGATATGTTTATTTGCAACATGTTTAAAAGCTATTGAGAAATAAATTTATAAAAAATTAATTAAAAATACCTTAAATTAATCATTTCCTTTATGTTTAGCTGTTTTCATCGTCATAGTCGCTCGCATCACCTAAATCAAGTCCGTCGTATTCATTCATGCTCTAGAAAATTAGAAAACTATTAGTTTAACTTAAGCACAATTTAAAAATTATCAACTTACTTCAATGTCCTTAAATGGTAAATTTTCACAGCTCACACAAGTAAGATAAGCTGTTCCAGAGTTGTGTCCTTCACATTCGCATATATGACAAGGTTTGACATGAACATTAGCGATTCTCTTAGCAAAGACACTAGCCAATATCTTCAACTCATTCACGTTTGATCTACCTCCAGTTAAAAATATTGAGCCTTCTGTTTCATATGTTAGAGATTCACATTCTTTTATAGCTTTTGGAATTTTGACAGTCTTCCTTAATTTTTCATCTCCTGTAAGTTTTGTTTGATCTTTTCTTAGATAAGCTTTTGTATTATCAATTCCTAATATCTTCTTGGAATTTATAGCTTCATTTGACAGGATATGCAGAATGATATCATTTTCACGCAGCAGTTGGCCAATTGATTTGAAGTCGAACTATTGATGGATAAAGTATTAAGTATTAAAGTTCAATAACATTTTAAGCTACTTTACCTTAAGTGAGTCAATCTCACAATTCCCACACAACGAAAGTACGAAAATTTTTAAAGCCCCTGGCCTGAAAATAAGCTTTGATGCTTTTGTAATAGCTGTAAGAACATCCATTGAGCTTTGATTGCTAGCTTTAATGTGATCAAAATATGAATAAATATCTTGAGCAGTTGTAAAGATTTTTCCATTGGAAGTAACGATTTCTGGGTGCGTAAACTCATTTGATCCACCAAATGACATGAGGGCAAATTGGACATCGTTGATTGAATTATGCTTAAACTCCGTTGTTATTGAAGAAACTAAAGTTCTTAGTATGCTTTTCTTAAAAGTGTCTGTATTACAGTCATTAGCTTCAGCTAGAAAAACTATATCAGCTGTTGGCTTAAATGATTCATCCTTAAGCTTTACAAAAGTTCCTTCAGTCACGTGAGTATTATTAGGTAAGTTACAGCTGCAATGGACCAAAATAAATTTAATTAAAATATTTAAAATTTACAAAACAAGACTTACTAAATACAGGCATCAGGAATTCTTAGCGGAATATTTTGAATCGAACAGGCTTCAATGTAAGAAATTACGGAAGTGCAAGCAGCTTTTTCAATGCTTTTAGTAGATATTTGGTACCTTGGTAAGGTTCCCAAGTTAAGGCACATGTCATAAAATGCAGTTGGATCAATAACACTAAAGCAACTTGCAACATATGAAGTTTTAAGCTTGAAGAACAGATTGCATTTCTCTTGAAGGTCCTCATAAAGATCACTAGAGTTTCCAGCTTGAGAACCTCCAATGCTATTGCATTCTTTAGTCGTTCTCCAACTCTCAATAAATTCATTTTGGTCATCAGTCACTTCATTATCTGATTTTGTAAGGTCATCAAAGTTTTCATTGTTCATAGTTCCGAGAATACCTCCAATCTTACCGAAATACCAACCACTCAATTCTATCAGACATACATCAAACTCTAAATTGCAAGTGACTGCAAAGCCTTTCCTAGATTTTACAGTAACAACATTATGATCTCGAGTAACAAGCATATCTCCTTTTTGTTTTGGCAATATTGTCATTAATCTATCTCCAACTTTAATTTCACCTTCAGGATTTCCAAGTTCAATTTCAACCTTAGAAGTCTTTGTCTTTATCAAGAGAGATTTGGACATGAACTTTTGATCTTTCTCTGTTATTGATGCTGGCTTAAGTATAATTGAGAATTGTTCATCAACAAAGTCATGTGCAAGCAAATAAGAACATTGATCATTTAAAGCTTCAGAGTTTGTTGAATATTCACCAAATTCAGTGGCATTGATTTCGATGTTTGATTTATCATATGTAAAGATGTGTCTTGATCCTATAAGCAGAGCATATGATTTAAATGGTGGAACGAAGTTTTGTGGTTCACTTAACATAAGTCCATAAAAGAAGTTGAATGATGAGTTTTTACTGGTAAATAGGAAATCCTGTGTATCAAGGAAGAACTTATATTCTGGAATTTCCTCAAACTGTGGTGTCTCATTAAATGCATGCCAAGCTACTGGAAGCTTTTGTTCCCATTCAATTACTCCTGTATGTGGATCAAAAATGAACTTTGTCTTCGCTTCTCGGTATATGTCTTCAGTCTCTAAGGCACTCTGTGTTATCCTGTTCAATTTCTTTTTAAGGATCTCAAATAGAGCTCCTAGTCGTTTCTCTAGCTGGAATTCATTAATTAACCATCGTATGTTTGCCTCAATTTCATCAAGATGATCAAAGTATTCCTTTACAAACTCAATTTGTCTGATTTCCTTGTATGCAACAGATATGTCTTCTGAGATGATCCTTACTTCTTTTCCAAATGGCATAACACGAAGGATTTTCTCTTTTAAGAATTTATACATGATTGTCGAGTACTTCTTAAAGTTGGTAAACATGTCGTTTCTTTGGATATCTTGATAGAGAACATCCAAGTCATGTGTAATATTCGAAACCTTCACAAAGTATGGAGATTCCATGAACTCATTTGTTCGGTTGTACATAAAATCTGTTGAAGAAATATGATTTAAATCAGCTATTATTAAGCTTAAGGAGAGGATTCAATACATACCGAAAATCTCCGCACTCACAGACCATAAAGTGGTTTCGACATAATGAATACTTCTTAGAATTTGAGGTTCTATACTTTCTAAGATTCTGTTCCAATAATTTGACAGTGCTTGTGCCATATTATCCCACATTGCCTCAATAGAGTTCATAAATGTAATGTGTAGGTTCTTAACGAATCGATCATAATTCTCAATGATATTATTGAGGAACTGAGTAACATAGTCTGTAAGACTGCCATGAACGAGTTTGTTGAATGTATCAACTGTGTCCTTGTATGATGTTTTCATCTAAACATTAAACAATAATATAATATTAAGGAATCTTGAAAATTGGTTGTTGTTGTTGTTTTTAATTGCTTACCAAGTTAATGATCCAGAAAATCGACTTCTTAAAAGCATCACTTGATTCACCTAAAGCTTCCCAAATCTCCTTAAATATTTTAGGAATGTCTGTAATATGATTAGTAATCGACAACTCATCAAGGACAGTAAATGTGTAGTTCATCAAAGACTGAACATAAAAGTCATCATTATAATAAGATTCATTCAAGAAGTTCTTGAATTTCAATAAATCTTCGTCGATATCCTTCAAAGCAGCCAGATCTTCACGGAATGGAATCAAGTATTGTTCAGTTTCAGCAAAAACTCCAGTGATTGTATCTTTAGTTTCAGTGTAGTAAGTTTTCACCCAATATTCAATTTCTTCAGCTATTGCAAGATACCTTAAAACCATAAAGTTCTTTATGTTTGTTTTTAATTCCTTCTTCAGTTTTGGTCTCCATAACAGCTTACTAGTTATCAGCCTTGAATGATTCATTTGAATGAAGTAAGACATATCGTCAATTCTGATGTCATCATAATCTCTCCATATGTTTAAAGTTGCACTTCTGGTATCAGGGATTATTCCTCGAATTTGGAACTTTTGCGTCTCATCGGCTGAAAGCTTAACATCACTATTAACAGTCTTCTTCTTTAAATCTATTATGAAATTTCCAGCCATTTCATAATCAGGACTATCTATATAAATTCCATCTATAGTATATATTGGGAAATTGGATTTTACAATTGTATAAAGGTCGATGTCCTTATTTGGTGTGTGACGCTGTGAGAAAAATGATTTTGTAATTTTAAAGATCTTCAAAACTTTCAAATATACTTACATAAAACTTTATTTCTTTCTGATTTAAATCAATGAAGCTTAAAAGTTCAAGTTCCATCTCAGGCAGATATCCTCTCTTATAATTTGCATTGGCTTCCATTTTATAGTAATTTTGTTGAAGTCCCAAAGATCCATCAAGGAATAAATGAAGATCAGAAGCATCATGATCTCCATTAACATGAATTGTGAAGTTCTTATATCCAACTTTATCACTTAGGTTTTCAATTATAGAAGTAAACTTAGCGTGATGACTTTCTTCCTCAGTGTAATCAACATCAACTTCAATTTTTCCAAGAATTTCCTTGTTTCTGAAATAACTTCCTTGAACTGTAACATCTTTTTCGAATTTTGGATGTTTCAATGCAAACATGACGAATTGGTGATTATCACTTGATGAGTTTGAAAGATCCTTCCATTGGAAAAATCCCTCAACTGTTTTAAATTCTGGTGATTCTTCCTCCTCGTCATCCTCAGTATTCTGATTGTTATTTTCATCGTTCTCTTTCTTATCCCATTGTAAATTTACATTAGTCTTAATGGAATCTGATTTAGTTTCATAATTTGCACGAGCAGTAACTTTTCTTCCAGGATATGATATTGCAAAACTGACTTGCTGTCCATCTTCATCTCTTGCTGTCAAGTTCGATAAATTAAAATCATATTCTAGCCAAATATCTTCTGACAATTCAATTTTAGAACTTTGTTGCGTGCTTGATGTCAGTGACGTATAATCGGATGTCCATGTTATTGTTCGGTTTGGATGAATAGCAACAAATTTGTATTTCTGCTTATTATCTCGTATTTCAACCGTAAATTCGCTTGTAATGTTGAACCTTACAACATTGTTCTCTTTACTCAAATCGAAGAATTCGAGTCGTTTCATGCTCTATAAAAATATTAGTTTAAGCAATTAAATTTCCATACAACACAGCTTAACTTACATAATCGAGTTTTTCATTTGGATTTTTATTCATCTCGTGTGTATAGTGGATACCAAGTGGTCGTTTTTCATTCTCTAAGCTTAAATCAATAATTTCTTTATTATGGTTCGCAGAAATTCGTTCTGTTTTGCATGTATAGTGGCTGTTAAGGACATTTCTTGTGTTGTAATCCACTGTAGCATCACCAGTTGTTATTAAAGGTTTTTCCTGTAATGCATGAAATATTTAATAAACAAAAATTCAGCAATAAAAAAAATATTCAGCCACACCTCTAATCCATAAATCACTTGAATGTTGTGCTTAGATTGCAAAGGAATTTCAGCCTTAATTGTTCCCTTCCACTCCTTATGTTTTCCTGCTTCTAAATAAGTGCTTTTGGAATCAATTAAAGCATGATTATCTGGCCATGTAGCTTTTATGAATTTCGTTGTCTCGCTATCCTGACTGTCAAAATCGAAATCAAAGTTAAACCATGTCACGTTAAATATTGGAAGAGATGTGTTGATTGCTCCTTTTGTGTTTTGCATGTCAGTAAATAGCACATCACCAATTGTAATTTGTTTTGATTCTGGATAATTGATGTCTGTATGTATGACTTTGAAGATATCTTGCTTAGCATAGTTAGCATTTATTACCAGTGTTTTTTCATCCTTATAAGATGGAGTTTTTAGTTCCCATTTGTAAAAAGTTTTGTCATTCTTTTTCGAAACAGTAAAGTCACTTCCAATTTGATTCTTTTCATTTGAATCACCCCATTCCAAATTTATCTCATTGGTCATATTCGAATAAGAATCAATAGCGCCTTTAAACTTCATTTTAGCATTCAATGCTTGATTTGAATAGGTTATATACCAGTCAGTGTTTGATTTCTCTTTAAGTTGAGGAGGGAAATTATTTCCTTTGTAGCGTGCCTCGATTTTATGATTGCTTTCAATTGGTTTCGGAAGATTCAAGTCATAAACAATTGACATATCTTGTATATTAGCTGATTGATCTTTAATAAGGTTGTACTTAGCGGCAGTGCTTAGTCTGTATTGAACAATGAATGATTTAATTAATTAATTAAAGTTATTTAAGACAATTTTATACTTACTTCCATAAAGAATTTATATCAACCAAAAATGACACATCTGCAGGACCTTTTTGTGGATTGACGAAAGAAAATTCTGTGTTGAAGTGCTTTCCAGTGTCATTTGATTTTACTAAAAGTTTCAATTCATAATTCTGTTTCTGCTGTTTATCCATCCACTTCCATGAATATTGACTATTCCCAGAATGTTGTGATACGACATAAAATAACTTTGCACTTCCATCTGCTGGGTTCAGATTTACCACAGATGATACATTTATTTTGTCAACAGAATATTCTCTCCACGGCGTCGTCATTTCAAATGATGCTTCATATTGATTTTTCGGAATCGGTGTAAGCGATGTAGAAAGTTTTAGTTCATTTATGTCTTTTTGAGATGAAATAACTTTGATGTTATAAGCCCAATCTAGCAAGTCTTGAACAAAAAGTTCACTTTCAAAGTTCACAAAGTCATTCTCTTTTGACAAATTTGCTTTAATTGATCTTTTAAAGTCATCGACTGAGATGATATAATTGAGCTTGGATTGACCATTTTCATTTGTGAATATCAAGTCAGCATGATGAGGGAAGTTCCTTTGCAAAACAACATCACCCTCAAAATCATAATTTACAGCATCTTTGAAAAGTTTTCCTCTGGCTTTATATGCTCCCGGTTGTGAACCTTCAATTAAATTACCAACAAAACTTATTGTCTTCAGTTCTTTAAATGGCGTAAGAGCTTCCCCTTCAAATGCGTTTCCATTTTTACTTATCAAAAACTTCATCTGATTCATAGTTTCATGTTCACGTCCGTATTGTATTTGAACATCAAATTTAGGTCGAATACCTTCTGATATGTAGACTGACGTGTTGAATTTTTCAACAGGGAATATATTTGATGTGACTGATAAATAACCGTCAATAACATGAGTTGAGTCTAATCGATAGAACAAATCAGTATCGAATTTATTTTCAATTCCATCATCGATATATAAAAAGCCGACATTAATTTGATTGTCTTTTAGTACGGTTGTTTTTTGTGCATATGAACTCAAAACATAATTGTTCAAAATAGGCGAGTTAAGCTTCACATTAAAGCCTGAGTCAAAGTTCTTATCGTTTTTCTGGAAAATAAGGGGTTAACATAAAAATTAATAAAATATTCTACCTAATTATAAAAACCAAAATATTACATCAAAAAATCCTGACATGTCTAATCGAGTATTAAATCCATCAAGTGTAAAGTTGGCTTGTTTCAAACCCTTCTTGGATAGTTCTAGTCTTGTATTTACATTAATTTTTGATGTATTCATCAATGGATACAGAATTATTAATGACACGTCATGTATTCTAGATTGCGAAGACTTTGGTAATGCATAATTCAATTTAAAGCCATAATTCTTCCATTTCGCTTTGTTCTTGATTCCTACATCAAATCTAGCTGTTATTCCTCCTTCGCTTATGACTTTTAGTTTGAAATTTGAATTTACAGATTGGTATTGCTGTATAGGAGTATCGATTTTAAGACGATTCATGAAATCTGTTGTGGATTTTACGATAAGTTTATTTGAAACTGTCACGACTCCTTTTGGAATGAATATTGATGCTTCAGTGTGATAAGTTTCATCAATTTGTTGAATATCGTAAGAACCAGTGATTGGACTCCAAACAATAGTGCAAATCTCAAAGTTTCCTGATAAGCTATAATATTTATCCAAGTCTATATCAACCTTTGTCTCATCATTTTCATCACTATCAAGTTCATCAGTCGATGTAAAATCTTCTCGTATGTATGATGCTTTCTGTAATCCCAATTGTGTAATTAACTGTTTCTTCGGTTCACCAAAACCTTTAATGCCAAGCTTGTGTTTTCCTAATTTAAACGAAGCTTCAACATCAAAGTTCTGTATATCGTCAGCAATAAACTTCATGATTATTCCATTTTTCTCGAAATTCTGCAGAGGTGTGAATACTTGATAAGAATATTCAAAATCACTAACATCCGTAAAATGTGATACTCTTCGGAATCCTAAAGTAACTTTATTCCAAGCACCTTCTATATGCATAATGTTGTCTCTTATCTTTCCAATTGCTAGAATTTTCTCCAAAGATGGTTGAGGAGTAGCTGCATAGAATTTCATATCAAAATTTGTTATTGACACAAAGTCAAACAAAACTTCAATTCCAAGTGACTTATTTGGAGTTTTTAAATCAGCAATGAAATACTTTTTGTGCTCAACAATTCCAAATTTTCCAAGGAGAGATGGAAATGTTTCAATTGGTGTAGAAACATTGAATGATATCATGTTATCGAAAAACTTTTTCAAATATCCTTGAACTGAGAATGCATATTCCCTTTTATCAATATCCATGTCAATCACTCCATACAAAGATCTATCTTTTGTTAACGAGAATTTTGTTACCAAAGCACCGGATGTGTAATTTGAATATGGACTACTAAAGCGCACATTACCCGTAATGTTTCTATAAGTTAAATCGTATGTTCGCTTCCAGTCAGACTTCATGGAAAAAGTTTGAAATTCTGAATTGTTTTTTATATTCTTATGCTGTAGCAGAATAACTGTATCAAGAAAATCAGTCGTTTGATTGTATTTAAAGTTCGCTATGATTGCAGGAATATCAGCTAATGTACTCTGAACTGAAGCACGTATTTCGCATGAAATTTCCTTGTCATTTAGAAGGTAGTCGTTGAAGAACTCTAATGCAATGTTTTGATGCTCTGCCCAAATTGTTCCGAGATTTGCAGAAAACAGATTGCCTTGTTGGAAAATAGTTCCGTTAATATTGTTACTCTTCCAGCCAGGAAACGGTGTATTTATCTGAACAACAGTCCATAATTTATTATATTCCTTAAAATCTACACCGACAGAATAACTGGTTTCAATTATCTCTTCTAAGCTCCATGAAATTTTCATCTTTCCAGTATAAGGTCCTTTATTAGATAAGTAAACATCTCCATTGATTGTTCGTTCTGGATAGCTCATAATAATATTTCCAACATAAACATCCTCTTCAGGTTTATCAACTTCATAACTGAATATAAATCTTTGCGTTGGGTCTCGATTTGCATCCCATTTGAACTCAATTCCAACATTTTTGCTAAATGTCTTTGCCAAACCCCACATTTCAACATGAACATCGCGCAGTCTATCCAAATGAATTTCAATTTTAGTTCTGCCGATATCCTTTGAACTCGAATTCGAGTTTATTGAAAATTTCTTATCGCCCCAATTCAATTCCGTTTTGAAAATCAATACCAAAGGCTCAGGCTCAGTAGATTCCAATATAAATGAAAAATTGGCATCATTATATTCAGTTTTGACGTCAATTTTCAGTTCCCGTACATCCCTAGAATATCGAAGTAGAACATTTACGTCATTAAACTGATTACTGCTGACGATTGCTTTCACTTTGTAAAATTGTTTGACATTAGATGTGCGATCTTGATACGATCCTAGGAATTTTATTGTTTCATTGCTAAACCATTCTCCTTGAACATCAATCAAATAGTTCTTCTGCATTCTTTCTTGAACTTTGATTGACGAGGAGCAAGTTCCCAAATCAGGGACAGTCAATAAAAATGTCGCATCAAATCCAAACAAATTTCCTTTAGGTACGAAAACTGAAACTTTTGTCACAATTTCCTTATTTGTACTGTATCGAACAAGAACAACTGCAGTATGCTCTGTTCCATTTTTATGTAGTTCATCATACTTTACATAGAATTTCAAATCAATATCACTTAAAGGTCGAGTGATTTCAATAGCAAATGTTGTTTCCGATACTAGATCAGTATTTCTAGCTAATGTAATTCTCGTTGAGAGTGTATGAGCTGGATTCTCGAAATCAGGTGCATTATTGTAATCAACTCGAAGTTCTGCATGTCCCATTGAAGAAATAAATGATGAATTTGAGTAAAAGTTGAAGTTTTTGTAAGCTGAAGATTCAAACTTTAGAGATCCAATGTATTCAGTAAGTCGTTGACTTCTGTTTGCTAATTCCATTAAAATATCAACAGTCTCTTGTTTCTGACCTGCAAACTTATATTGTAATTCTGTATTTAACCTCAGTGATACATCAGTTAAAGTTAATGTTCCAGTAGCACCAGATTGAAGTTTCTTTGTTTCACAATTAAGCTCAAAATCATATTGACGAACGTCTGATTTGTCCAATACTTCGATAATTCCTTTAATTCCAGCTAGTTTTTGTCCTTGAATAGTAAGAAGAAATTGTGGAATCAACTTTCGTCTTGATTTTGATTCAATTTCTCGATCCATGCTCATTTCAAGCTGCAAATGTTTTTGTCCATTTTGAGAAATTGAAAAATCTAATGAGCTTAACTCAGGAGTGTTCTTGTATAGTCCCAAGAATTTCTGAATATTTTTACCATTCACAAGCTTCATTGTAAAATTGGAATCTGTTGGATTCATCAATACTATTGCTGATAATTTGCGAGGAATTTTCGAATTTGGTGTTTCAAAAATTAAAGATCCTTCCGATTTATCTTTCGCTGCTTTCCAGTTATAGTCGAATGTAAATATTTTGGCACTCAGATCTGCTTTGTCAAGATGTATATCAAAGATAATCGGTCCACTTAGAATCAAACTTGGATAATTTTTTGATTGATCACTTACATCCGGTAAACTGTAATCAATGCACATCTTCAATCCTACCGTTTCATCAACTGTTGGCCAAGTACAGGAAGAGTTGACAAATCGATTATTGATACCGTTCAAAAAACTATCTCGTCCTTCAATTTTGCTTATAAGTTCTGTTCTTATACTGAAAATGTCATTTCGATCTTGTGGAACTTCGACTTTTAATGATGCATGCGTATAGTCCTTGATTTTCAAATTAGATTCCAGTGCATAATTTGAATACACATTTGACTTGAATTTCACTTCTGTTGTGCTGTAGAATAAATCCATTTGCATATTTGCATTCAGCTCCACTGACAAGCTAGGTCTTAATTTTCCAGTGAAATCAAGCATTTTAGTATCCCAAACTTTGTCATTATTAATTGATGCAAAGTAAGTGATGTCCAATGAGTAAGCACCAAAACCATTAAGAACTAATGGAAAACCAGTTGATGACGGAACTGTGTATGAAACATCGACAAATGTTCCACTGTCAATAAAGACTTCCTTTCTGTTTGAAAAAATATTTTTGACTCTTTCAATTGGCACCAACTTCTTTATTAAATCACTAAGTTCATCTAATCCTTCAAATCGATGGAAGTTGATATCGTTTCCGAAAATTTTATGCTCAAAATATCCTTTTGGCTTGTTAAATTCATAATTTGGCTTGAAAGCAAATCCTTCTATTTGATTGTCTGTTGATCGTCGTGTTCTCAGGATGGCACCGATGATATCTGTAGAAAGATGTGATGTTGGTCATTTTAAAAATGTATAATAAGAACCTTACCTTCGTCAATGTCAATAAAACTTTTCACCTTATCGTAGATAAACTTGAAGTTCTGAACAAGCTTCTCAAAATTTAAAGGTGCATCGATTCCAAAAATTGATTCTATGTAGTTCTCTAACCCTTGTAGTCTTATGTTAAATTCAAAAGGATTCATAGATCCTCCAAACAGATTGACAGTTCCGTTGAATGATATTGATCTTGGGATGTAAGATTCAGTTCCAAAAATTACATTCGATTCACCAGTTATGCCAAAATTATATTCATCGAAAAACAAACTTTGTTCATAGTTCTTTGAGAATTTACGGAAATCCATTCGAAATTTGTCATTGATTTGATCTTCATCGACTGTAAATTCAAAAATAAACTTATTAGTGATTACATAAATAAAAACTGAAGTCATATCAATTTACCCAACAAAGCTTGCAGTTCAATTTTTTGTGGAGATGATGTTTTTGCTACATTCATCAAATGCGACCAGACAAATGAGCCCACTTGATTCACTTGCTCCTCATATTTCAAAAATGATTTGACATTTTTAATTGTCAAGTATGATGGGCACTTCATCATTTGTAAATATGAAGCAATACGAACTTCCACTGACTGTGTGAAATTCTTGTAAATATCCTTGAAATAATCTCGAGTATTTTCACAGTCTGTTTTCCTAAATAATTGAATTGCTTGAAGCTTGACATCGTCGCTATATGACTCATCAATTATAATGCTCAGCATTTCCTTTTCCAAGTCGTCAGAGAATATTCCGATATTTCCTAAACCTTTCATTGCAACGAGTAGTTTCTCATAAATCGATTTGTCTGTTAGATCACGAGCAATGTTATTGGTGACCATTTTTTCAAGGTACTTGATAATGTTCTGTATCACATAGTTTTCCAAGCAGTTGTGCTGATTTTCACAGTATGTATGTGCTACAGATGATGGAATGAGAATATACATTGGATTTGGTTCTTGCTCATAAAACTGAATCAAACTGAACATTGTCTCGATGATTTTACTGTCCGGTCGTGGCAAATAAAACATTGATATCATCCAAGATTCTTTTATTTCATTCGTCAGTTCCTTTGATTTGATTTTTCCTGTCAATATATTCTTCATTATTTCTACAGATGCAGAGCTTTCAATGTATGGCAAACTTTCAAGTACATGCTTTCGTCCATTCTTACAAATTCCACCAGCACGAGCTAATAACTGAGTCAATCCTTTTTCACTTAACTGCTTTGTAGCAGTCAAAAATTTGACAAATTTATCTGGAAATTCTCGTTGAATGTTTGGGAATCCGAGGGTACACATTTGTCTCAAATATTCTCTCGACAGCTTTATATCATTATGTACGGGTTTAGGCGACACTGAATGGTCATAAAGGAGTGTTCTTCTTGTTTCGATGTACACGTCTGGTGAAAGGTTAATTAGATTATTAACTGTTAATGATCTTGTAATTAACTTTGGGGTGTATTCAGGAGGAAAGAAGGAAATGCGATAGGAATTTCTAATCAGGCTGTTTTCCTTTGCGTTAATCCCCCCTCTCTTCCAGATACACGCGTTAGATAAACTTAAACTTTCCTACCTTCATTACTAGTTGAATTATGTTCACCAATTAATTTCATTCTCATATAACTTTTAGAAACAGCACCATTGTACTCATTAGAAAATGGAATCAAAACATGACGTTCGTGACATTCAATATTATTGTAAACATAATTATCAATTGAAAGCTGTAAACATAGGAAAAATCTTTCAAGACTGAACTCTACATGAATCTAATTAATTAAGTACATACTTCACAATAACTTGATGAATTATAAATGGGCCACCAGGATATTCCACTCTGAAAGAAAAATGATAAAGTAATTTTTATGTAAATAATATTTATAAATTCATGTCGAGGAATGCGATACCTTTCTAAATTCATAAGGTGTTGTTTGAATAATTGATTTGAATTTGTTACGATTTTGACACGACGAAATATCTTTGGTCTTGTTAATTTTGATGCTTGTGCTCACAGCTCCAACAAATTCATATTTTACATCACATTTTCCTGATACATCAATCTCGTTTGACTTTTGATCCAAATCAAGTCGAGTCATAGTGTTTTGGAGAGCAGACAGCACTCCTCGTTTGAAATTTGTCACCCACACTGATTCATCATTATCAGGACATATTTCCTGTATAAGACCATCACGGAAATCAAATCTTACTGCAAATTTCTCAACATCTCTATTAAAGTCAGATGATCTTGTATGTAGGACATCTTTTGCATCTACTTGACTATTTTCATCATGTTTAATGATTTCTTCCTGTTCCTGTGAATTCTCATATTCATAATCTCCGGACTTATGAACTTCATTATACACAGTTAAATTAAAATATTTCAGTTGTGCTGACGAGACTTTCAATAATCCTTGACATTTCGACGGGAATGAAAGCTCTATAGTTGCACTTATATGTAATTCCGATGCAGGATCATTACTATCAGTTCCGTCAAACATTGTTTGGAATGATGATTCATATAAATATTTGTAAACAGTATTAGGGAGATAATGAAACTTTTCATTTTCATTATCAATGTCGCACGCCGGAATTCCGCACACTGTTGGATCTTTTAATGGATCTATTGAGGTCAATTAAATGATTTGTTTTAATCATCATCTGTGCTTAATTAATATTTTTTTTTACTTACTTATCGCATGAACGCTGATACGGCTCGTAAATATTATCAACAAACAAAACGTGACGAAAAGCATTTTGAGTTTACTTCTCATGACACTTAACATGCTCATTATCGGTATTTCTTTTCTATTTTTTTGTATTTGTATGTTTACTCATGTGAATCTACAATATTTGTCATACGAAAAAGAAGAAGATAATAAATAATCAATCTCGTAGCTTGTTTATTTTGTTTAACACATTGTTATTAAACTTGAGTCATTTTCAGTCATTGTCCTTTCGTATGTGAACAAAAAATATGGATTACGAAGTTTTTGTAATGATGATGAATTTTTCTAGGGTTTCCTCTTGAGATATGATTTATTGCAGGCGCGTAGCCAGGGGGGTGGGGGGTATTTGGGGGACAAATCCCCCAACGCAAACAGAAATTTCTTTATTTTGCTAGGGTTTTTATGAAAAAATCACAAAAATACCCCCCCCCCCCCATTCAAATTTTTTTGAACCCCCCCCCCCCCCCCCCCCCCCCCCTCTTCAAATTCCTGGCTACGCCCCTGATTTATTGACTTGATAACAATACTAGGAGCCTTTTCCTAATCAAGTGACAGCTTCAGAATCAGATTCTTTTAAGCGTCAGAGTCCAAAAGAGAAACTTTCGTTGATTAACAAAAATTTATGCTACAATAAAGATTCTAAGCTTCTTTTGTTTGAAAACAGCAGTTTATAGGTTATAAAACTTTAAAAATTGATAGAAATCTACTTAATTTTGATTCCGTTTTTGCACTCATCATTAATTTTTGATTTCATGGCTTGCTTTCTCAGTTTTTATGCAAATTGTTTTAATTATTATGTTGGCACTATTTGAATTTTAATCAAATTAAGCTATTTTAGGTGTTTAAATATCACCTAAATTGATCCTGATATAGTTATGTAGTTTTATCGACTTTAGTAAATCTTCAATAATCTAAATAGGATGAAACTAATTCTAGATCTTTAAATGTCCTTTCGTCGCACGAAAAACAATTATAATATAATGATCATCCAAAACTGCTGATCAAACTTTCAATCTAGTCAAGGATTTCTTTGTGTTCATTTCAATATGTATAAATCATTAAGTTCAGATCTAGAATTTTAACTCGTCATCATCACAAATTATATTTTCACAGAATCGATTTGACATGAGTCAATCCTTATCAGTCATCTCATGAAATTTCATTCATTTCTTATTCTCTCCACTGATCACATGATCTTGTTAAACTTACACATAATTTTAGGCACTTTTGGTGAAGTTAATGATGTAATTCTATGTAAAATTGAGACACTGACACTTAAACTTATCACTTGATGTAATTTTTCCGAGAAAATTCGAAGAAAAATTATGAAAATTAGCAAATTTCAAAAAATTTACATTTTTTACGTCCGATCGGACCGAAAGATGAGACTAAAATGATCGATTTGAGTAAAAATGCTCAAAAACTGCTCCTTATCAGCACTTGCAGGTCAAAGGTGATTCAGCACTTAGGATTGCATGATGAAGAATTTTTAAAAAATTTCTATGATTTATTCTATAAAAATAACGATCAATAAGACAACACTAACTTAGAGACAAGCTGAATATAGCTGAAATAAAATAAATTAAACAATATTTGATTCCTTAATCTTAATTTCAATTTTATTTTTGCAATTTTATCCAAAATGATATTATTTTACATCGTAATTTTGTAATTGTCAATGGCAGACAGTATATAGCTCTACTAAGCTCCATATTTTTTTCCCAGTTTCTCTATCGATTATTATTAAATCTCAAATAAATTAGATTTTTCTTTCAAAAATTCGAGACTAAGTTCCTTTTTTTCTTTTTTTGCTAGCACAAATCAAAATTAAAGTCATAAAATGTTAAACATAAAGTCTACATCAACTACGTAATTGCGTTCTTTAATATCAAAAATGAACTTAATGTTTTTTTTATTTCTTTATCACAGGAAACACCGGGACTCGAGAAAGGATTTTTTTAAACTAAATTTGTTTCATTCATTCATCATTCAATTCTTTTACATTTTAATTTGATTTTTTATTAGCATAAATTAATGCACTTCTAGAGATTTATATCCAACTAAAGACTATTTAAATTATGATGCAGTAATATCATTCATTGAGTTTAATTAATTATTATTACCATTGATTATAATTTTTTTTTCATGTCTTTTGTGCTCAACACGTTTATTATTTAAGCCAATGACTAGCAAGAAAATCCTCATTAAAGCATTTTTGCATTAGCTTTTATGTCTTTTTCATTTGCATGCCTTTAACAGGTGACTGTTTCTAGATTCTTATCATAAGGAGGAGATAGCATGCATCGAAGTACCTAACATAGGCCAATACTTCAGACAACGACACAAATATTGAGAAAAATCAATCAAATGACTGGATCTTATGTCGAAAGTTTTTAATATTTCGAGTTTAGTTTAATTTCACTATTCTATAGATATGCACAATATATTTATTTATAAATTTAGATTAAAGCTTTTTTGGAGCAAGTGAATTTGAAATTTGTATGATTTATTTCTGCGAGATTTCTGTTTGCAGTTAAAGAAAGTCGTTCATTAATATAATAAAATCTGGTGAAATTGATTTATAAGCACTGATTGTTATGCATTAAGTAAATATGAACTATAATCTATGAAAATTGCCACAATGACATATTGCAAGTTCATAATAACTTTAATTATATGTCGTTCCTTGCATGCAAGTAAACAGAATAATAGAAAAATTGATGTCCTGACTGATGATTATGAATCAATTTATAGTTCGTAATAACTCAAAGCACAGATCAGAAAATTACAATTAAAACATTTTTGATCATCTTGATCAGTTCCGCACCCTTAACCAACGTAAGTTGTATAATAATTATGAAGTTTTCTTTGATCAAAAAATTTGAAATCCTTCTTTTTTTTTGAGATCTAGTTAAAAGTTCAAAATCAAATAAAATAGCTGCCGAATTACAAGGACTACTTTTGGACTAGATGCTTAGTAAATAATGTCAGAATTTCCATCGTTTGAAAACATTTAAATAATTCAAGTTCAATTTTAAAATTCATAAATGACTTTGTACATAATTTATACAACCTTGGAATTTTCAACCTGACTTTGATCGAATCATACAAAATTTCAAGATTTACCACCAAAGTTAATTTACATTGTGGCTTTATGATTGAAAACTTTCCTTAAAAATTCAGCTATGCAAAAATGCTTTCTTGTCAGACTTAGAAAAGGATTTTCTGCCTTCTTATCACTCTTACTTTGTTCATTTAAGTACCCAACCCTTCATTCTACATAAAATTTGCAATTATTTAATGCTTAATTTTGTTGTTATTGTTTTTTAAAAGCTTTGGTATATGAAATTTGTGTTTATAAAACTATCTAAAGATCTATTGTTAGTATTATCGCCATTATTTCAGAGTAAAAAAATTGTGCAAATTAAACTTGTGCCATGATTTGAATAGCCATTAAGTAGATTTACTTTACTTTACACTTGAAAAACGAGAATTTAAAGTTTATATTGAGAAATCGAAAATGGCGGGAAATTTTAACAATTTGAGTTTAAATAATTGATTTTAATTGTTAAACCAAGCTTAATCGGTTTTGGTTAATAAAAGTAAATCGAAAATTGTGCTGTTTTCCTAAACTCATTAAAACTGCGAGTAAATCCATTTTAAATGAGAATTTAACTTCGTTTAAAGACCTTTCTGCTTCTTTCTTGAGTTTGATTTAACGTTTTCAAAACTTTTGGTAGGCAATATCATAGATAAGTGTCAATGAAAATTCGAAACAAATTACTTGTGCAAATTTTATGCATTATTTTCATAGGTTTTACAAAACTAAATCTGGTATCATTTAAAAAAATTATTATTTTTGTATAGGATTTAAAAATATTCACTTCTTATAGAATCTCAAAAAAAATTAAAATAAAAATAAAATTGTTTTATCACTTGTACTTGCCAATTACCTTTTGTATGACATGCTATTTTTTTTGTTCTTTTTTCCTATAAATTTTCTATTGTGTCGTAAAAATAGTGGTATTAAAAATTAATTGAACTAAATCAAAAAAGGTCATTTGTGGGGCAATGCTTGGGAATTATAAATTTATAAAATAGAAAAAGTTTTGAGGAAAGAAAGTGAATTAAAAGTTTGTATCTGCTAAGTCATTTATAATGAGAATTGTGTCGTTTATAAAAAATTATTTAAATTAAAAATTCTTAAAGAATTTCTTACAAGATTTTTAAAAAATCTGCCTAAGTTATTTTTCCTTTGAAGACTAAGTATTTAATTTCAAGCAAATTCAAAAGGTTTTAATAAAGACTCAAAAATGCTTCTATGAAACATAATTTTGATGGTCTTTATGATAAGGAAACTACCTAAGGAATGAGATATAAAATTAACGAGGCATTTTGAGCTACTGTGACTTTACCCAATACACCAGCGACTTAGATTTCCCGTCTTTACTTACGGAAGCTTTTGCGCCTATACGAAATTAAACAAAAACATGAGAAATTTTTCAATTAAAAAACAAGGTTGAATTAAAAATCGATAGAAATAAAAAAAAAAACAATTAAAGTCAATTAACCTGCTGCGGGCGATGTATGACTCACACCCATCTCGTCCAAAAATTTCATAAGTGTGTTTAAATTCGTTTTCGAATTCTCTAAGACATCATTTGCGATTTTAATTAATGGTGCTTTAGTTTTTGTTGTTTGCGTGTGCCATACATACACTTCTGTACAGTCACTTGCTTTAGGTTCAATATTATCAATTTTCAGTTCAATACTTCTCAAAAAGGCATCCTCTTCATAACCAGCTTTATATGGCATCGTAGCATTAGGATATTTCCTCAAATAGCTTAAATTTACAGCGAAACCTGTTATCAAAAAAACAAAAACGAGAATTGAAGGACGGATATGTAATCAAATACATGAATATTTTACAGCATGTAGCATGTCGTAGAAATCAATGAATTATAACATACCTGCCATATCAACAGGCCATTTCCTCTTTGCAGGCCACGAGTCGAAAAACGCAACGACTTTTCCCTAATTATGAATTAATGATAGAGGAACTTTAATTAAGGCAAATGAAGGAACTTTAAGACAATCTTACATGCTTGACAATTGGAGAACTAATTGAATAATCGCCAATAAGACCAACGGGAAACATTGAAACGCGTTGCGTGTCTCGAATCTCGGAGAATAATCGCAAATCAAATGTATTATCATCATCGCCGAAATAGAGGACACCATCCTTAATGTTATTGTTCTTTATCCACGCTAATGCCGCTCGTCGATTCGAGACCCCTCTTGGAATAGTCTTTTGCGATCGATACAAGTATGGCATAGGCGATGATAAGTGAACATATGGGATTCCTGTAGATTACATGATTGTCGTTATGAGGCAGAAATAAGGGTGTGCATTGTACTTAAATATGAAACATTAATGATTACTCATTCTTACCGAAATTATCAAGTAGTTTATCCAGACGTGCATTACATACATCGGAATCATCAGCCACTATCCAAAATAGATTTTGTACGTGCATAAGAGTTTGACCAAGCCGTGTCAATTCGGCTATTTGTTCACGTCTGTAACATATAATAACACAGATAGTCTTTAACATTTTTTTGATTTCTTGGCCAAATTTTTTATGACAATATTTTTCTTTCCTACTTCTTCTTCCTTTCTTTCTCTCTTATTTCTTTGTTTCGGTTCTTTCTATGTCTCATATTACTGGATCATGCAAGACAAAACTCTTTACTTACCGTGGATAAGTTGGTGTTACGAAATAGATTATTTGGAGCTTCCCGTTATGACTTTGACTAGATTGCGTGGTTGTTGATGTTGTAGACAAAAGTGTTGATGCTGTCTCGGATGACGGCAAAACAAAAGCTCGTTTATCTCGCTTATTTTCATTGCAAACAGTAAGCGTATCATTCTCAATTAACGATGCAAATTCTTTATTTATTTCATCTGTATATAAACATAAAAGAGAGAAATGAAGAGATATAAAAAAAATGACAAAATTGTGAGGAAAACAGCAATTGAATAATATTAATAAAAAGAAACGACGATGAAAAAATACAGACAATTAATTATGCATGAATATTATTGCACATTGAATGGAAAATAGGCAATAGTCGAGAAAGAGATTGAGAGATATGATAATTATACAATGAACATCTTAGCACTATTACTTAATATTAAAATAATTACCTGAAGCGTAAGTGACATAAAGATAGAGCATAAAACCAAAACATAGGAGGACAATAAATAATTTTCTCGGATGGAGCAGCATTAAAATAGATTTTTTGTGATGTTTTAAAGCAATTTTCATTTCAATTTTTCACGGGAAGTTAAGCACTAGTTCACGGCGATTTTACATTCACTATCTATGTTTTGTGCACAAACTCATTGAGATTCATTATTAGTTATTTAATACATTATGTTTTAAAAGTAAATTAATTAATATTTATCCACAAATCCTCGAGAAACCTTAATCGACCAAAAAACACTATTTTTCTAATAACTTGATTCTCTTCTTAGCGCATTCTCGTGATACTATTCGACTTGCGCTACTGTGTGATCGCATTGTCCATGCAGTCTTGGCTAGTGATTGTGATCTGTTTACTCCTATTGATAGGATTCATCATCAATTCATAATACAGTTTAGTGATTCCTTTACAAATATCGCAAATATCATAAAATTAATTTTTTTAAGATGTATGCATCCACATACTGCAAAAGTGCGCTTTTGTCCTTACTCAATCTCAAAGTTGTTTCTTTATTTTTGCAAAGTCTTGCTTTAACGAACTTTTAACATTTAAATCTCTATTTACCGTTACCTCATTATCTGATTTCCAAAGCTTTCATCATTAATTTCATTAATTTTATGTACTATATCTACTATGGAATAAGGATTTCTGCACAATTCGTACCATTAACTGCTCAAAATTGATTAATTTTAAATATTAGAAGTAACAACTTTTAGGAGTAAATTTAAATGAAACAAAAACGTTATTCTTTTCACATAAAAAGTTGTATGTTTTCACGATTTACTGTGATTTACACAATAAGACAATTAATCATACTCACCATAGTCTTAATTATAACAAGTAGCTTCAAGAAAACTTTTAATAAACCAAATTGCTACCGAAAAAATGAAAGTCTATATAGGAACACTATTTTTTACGGTTGAAATTCAAAAAAGGTTTCAAAGTCTCTACTCGAATAAGACTTTCAAGCATCAGTCAAGTTTGAAGGAAAAAAAATTAAAATTTTAATTTTAAACACAGTAAATCACACAATGGGACGATCGAGATCACGTAGTAAATCACCTAGACGTAAGCACAAAAGTAAAAAACATAAATCAAGACGAGATAATAGGGAATATTCAAGGTAAATTAAAAATTCTTAAATTTTCATGTCCTTTTTCTGGTTCTAAACATTGAAAAAATTCACTTATAGTAATTCCAGACGTAGATCTCGCTCATATTCCTCAAGCAATAGTGACGATTCAATCGATCATCGTCGGAACAATAAAAGATCTAGAAAATTAGATGAAGTCGAGAGACTAGCTGATATTGAGAGATTAAGAAAACAGAGGGAAATTGAGGAAAAGGTAAAAACATAAACAAATTGACTAAACATCCAGTAAAGCATAATAACTTTATAATTTATAGATTGTGGAAGAGGAATCACAGAAAAGGATAGAATTATTAATTAAGAAACGTGTCGATACTATATTAGAAATGAGGAAACAAGAAATTGAAAGTGAGATTAAGCAAAGGGTAAGTCTGCATGCATGCATGTCTAACATCCAGTTCAGTAGTTCTCAAACTAAGCTATGCGAGATGTGTCGCAATAATTATTGTTTTCCGGCATGAATAGTTGTAGGAGCACTGAGCCAGATTAGCATATTCACAACCCCAAACGCATTAATTACATATTTCCATAAATTATATTCATTTAGGTGGAAATAGCAAAGCAAGAAATGGAACGTGAGTTAATGAAAGAGCTCGAAAAGCGGCGAGAAGAGAGATTAAATGAGGAGAAACGTCGCGAGGTATGTAGTGGACTGATCATTAAGCTTAGAATGAGAAGAAATGATTTCACTTTAGTTTAATTTTATTTACACTATTATCAATCCACCAATACAAAAAAATGATTCCATTTAAATATGCTTGAGTTATTATTATTATTACCATTATTAATTATTAGGAATGGATGGAATATTTTACATCGATTTTTGCATTTTGTCATTAATTAATTAATTCTCAGTCTCAAGCAAATGTTGAAGCTTTATTTTAATTATCCAAAACAACATTATTCTTTCATTTTATTACCTAATTAATCAAAAAAAAAACTTTAATTCAAATCCTTTTTCAAACACATTTCACACTGCTCTATTTTGAGTTCTAATTTTTTTTGGTACCAAAAATAACCATTTGTCGAACTATAATTAACTACTGCATTGTTAATATGAATGGAATGATCTGAATGAAGAATTGGAAAGGTCCTGAAGATGATTTAGTGTATGTGTGCGTGTCATTAAATATGCTTTCGATATTTATATGCGAAAGCTTGAAGCAAAAAATTGGCTATAAGAAAAGATTTGAATGAAAAAAAAATTTAAAGAAGGAAAAATATTATCCATAAAAGAAGACATGAGACATGATGGATTATTGGAAGAGTGAGTTCCTTCGGATGTAGCGAATAACTGTGTTCGGTAAATTTTCTAATAGCATCAATCCAAGGTATTCGTTATATTTTTAGTAGTAACATTATTTGTTTTAATTCCTTTTCAAAAAACCAACAAAAAAAACCAATTATTGGCATTTAATCAACAATTTTTATCCATGTAGCATCATTTTTACTTTTATCATTCATGCTTTATAATTTATTATTTTTAACTATTTTTATCCTTTTTATTTGTTCAACGTTTAATCTTTAATTATATACATCTGTATTGTATATAAACAAATCTCAATTTTTATGTGTAAATTTTATGCTAAAAACTACTCTACACCCAAAAAAGACTTAACACTAGTTTTTAGCTGGAAATTTTTTATTGTTAAAAAAAATCAAAAAAAATGCTCTATTTTAAGATAATTAAAACTAATAAAACTTATTTTTTTCAGTTTATTGTTATAGAGAAACTCATTACTTATTTATGTAAAGACCAGTTCTATTAGCAGTTTATTATGTCGATCAAAAAAAAAAAAAGATTCTTGCAAAAAATAATAATTTTTTTCATTATAATACAATTTTTATGGATTGCCTACGATGCATATTAATATTGAAATCAAACGTTTTTATAGGAAGAAGAAAAGAAAAAAAGAGAAGAACTTGAGCTAATACTTGCAGAGAATAATAGAAAAATTGAAGAGGCACAAAAGAAATTGGTGAGTTTGAAATCTTGATTAATTATTTATTTTATCTCGTATTGATGATTTTGCGGTATTTACTTCTGTGTCTGGCTGAATGAGGTTGATTTTACAAATTTATCTGTTCATTAGTTCAATCGAATTCAGTTCAGTTCATTTTAAGTTCAAAAATTTAAATTTTACAAAACTTTTTGATTCAAATTCATTTCAGTTCAAAATTCAAATTTTTTGATTTTTTGAACAAATCGAATTTCAAACTTTTGAAAACCGTTGAATTTTGAATTTTTCAAAACCGTTATATCGTCAGAAAGATTACAAATTTCACCATTGTATGCTTACTGTCTTTAAATACTAATAAATACACCAATTATCAGTAAACATAATTAAATATCCGTAATTTCTCCTCCAACCTTAAACAGGCTGAAGAAAGGTTACTTATAATAGAAGAACAAAGACGCATGGATGAGGAAAAGCTGAAAATGAAAAAGGAACAAGAAAAGCGACTAAAAGCTGAACAAAAAATGATTCTAGGGAAAGGTAATTCAAGACCGAAATTGTCTTTTTCAATAAAACCCGGACTTACATAATTCGTGGCTTTCCATTAATTTATTTAAGGATTGAAAAAATTTTACTCCTCAATAATTAAAAAAATTTATCTTTAATCATTTAAGTCAGAAAAAAGCCACATTTCATTTTTCAAATGTGCTAAAAGCTTAAATACATTAAATTGTTTTTTTTTTTGAAACTCCTGAAGCATTAAAATAAAAAAGAAACTAGAATAGCTAGTATTTAAAACATCCATAATAATTGTTTATTCTTGTTCTATTGATGCTGTTAAGTTTTCAGATATTTCGTCGAGTTCCATACCTACCTGTGCTGCTATTGCTTTCTCTATTTCCACTTCATTGATTATATTATTGTTTCGAACAAGTTTGACTTTTTTGTTGCCATTTTCATCAATTGATGTATTAGACAGATTCAAGTCCATATTATGGTCTTCAAGACACTTTACAGACGAAAATTCAAACCGAATTAAAGTCTGGATATCATTTACAATCTTTCGGATTGTTGCTTTTTCAAAGGACGAGATTTCATCAGTAAGTAGCTGATTACGCAGTAATTTTCTGATACTAATGAAAAGTCCTTCATCTTTTTGAGTCAAATTAAACTTGATATTTAAGGAGTCATAGTCAATGGCTCTTGTCAGTATATCCTCAAGCTTTTCATAATCTTTTTGGGATATGCAGTCTTTTGCTTGAGAATTAAGGATGCTGTTAACAATAGAAATGATATTTTTACATCCATCATCAATGGGAATAGTAGTCATAACATCGCCTGTTTCAGATACAGCACATCCACGATGTCGAAGACACTCAATTTTGAAAATTATTTGCCGCATATCCATTATTTCTGTAAACTTTAAATACTCTAATTTAGTCTTGAAATAATCAGCAAAATAGTTCAAATTATATCCGTATGTTATGTAGTTTTCTAATTCAGTCGCGTAATGTGGATGAGACGATGGACTTGAATGATATAATTCATACTTTTCATAAATTGACTTTTCCTGGATCTCACAACTTTCTTTATATTTTTTCCACAACTTAATTTCGCATTCATTTTTCTATTAAATTGAGATTATTGTTAATTTATCTATCGTTTGACCTAATTTGTTCCTTACTTACAGCATTATTTATTGTGTTATTTAAGTTTTGTGAATTTTCAGTCTCCATGTTGTTGATCAACTTTGTTTCCTTTTTGTGAATTTTCAACGAATTTTTGACATTTGAATTTTCTGAACGATTATTCAAATTTTGAAATTAAAGTCAAAAAATTTCCCGCAAAAAAAATCACGTGGAAATTTGTGTTTAAAAGAAAATTGAGGAAAACAAGAAAAGTAAAGCATTTTCAGCTGTGACATTAAATATATAAATGTTTAGAGATAAAAATAGATTGGAATACAAACTGTATACAACGTGAAAACTTATATTTTAACTTAGTGCAAAATAAAACCTTGAAGATCACACAATGAAAATCTTTCGGTTAATATTTCTATTAATTTCTGTGCTCATTATTACTGCTGAGTCGTCGCTTATCAATGATTTCTTCGCAGGAGCTAAAAATCTATGGCCTAAATCCAATGGTAAGAATGGAACTAGTTTAATTTTCATTTTATCAAAAATACATATATTTCAGACGTAAGCAGCATAAATCAATTAAAAGACTTGCCATCATTGCATTTTGAGTTCCCCAAAGAGAATGATGCGTTTTTGAAGGAAGGTTTAGAGCTAATTAAAGCACCAAAAGAGACATTTGATTTATGCACACATCAAGTCATACTTTCATTGAAGAAAAACTGTAATACATTAAGTTTAGAGGAAATTGGAAAATTGGCAGTTATGTTGATGAATTGTCAGCTACGGACTGAAGGAAGATCCATTTTTCCTTGTACACCTGAGATGGTAAGTCTAGTCATAAATTCAATTTAGTTTAAAGTATGTCAAAAAAAGTATAATTAATTACAGACATTAGCACAGTGTACAATGGGTTTTGACAACTCAATTTACCAGCTATACAATATTCTGACAAATCGCGCCTTGTCAATATGCTCTGCCATAAAACAGCAACAATATCGAATGTTTACAGAGATAGCTGTCAATCGATTGATGCATGCATCTCAAAAGCAGGCATTAACTATTCATGATGCACTCCAAAATCAGAAGAGAATCAATGAAATGGGAATTCAAAATATCCAAGAGTATCAGGAGAATTTCGACAAGATTAAGGAGACACAAGAGCTAAATATGGATTTTCTGGCAAATGCAAAAGAGCAAATATCGGAACTAAATACTGATTTACATCGTCAATTGGAAATTCACCAACTATCCGAGCAAAAACTCATAAAAATTGAACAATCTGCAGATGATATAGCTAGACAACTCGAGAGTACAAATGAGAAGATTGTGCAGCATTATAATGAAGCTTTAGCATTTTTGGAACATTTTAAGAATATTATGCAAATGATTGCTGTAGTCACGACAACGATTGAACAGATTTTTGGAAAGATTAAGGAAGTTATGAATGAAATAGGGATAGAATTGACATACGAGATGGCCATAACATTAATCTTTAACTTAGTTTATTTCACATGTGGAATGATCTTCATAATTTTCGTTAATCTACAACAAAAGTACAAGAAAGTGCTGATATGTCTATTCGTATTAAACAGCTTAGCTGCTTTCTATCAATCACAAATTCATTTGCTTGCAACTAATATTTTCGTATGGCTTTCATTAATTGGCTATCATCTGGCACAGAAGATCAAAGAAAAATTATTTACACGCAATATAAAGCATCTTGGATTCATGAAATTAAAGAAGGATGAAGACAACCATTCTAATTCAGGAGATAAAAGTCGAAGTGTTTCTAGAGCTCGTTCTATAACTCCATTCGCAAAACCACCAGCTAAAAAGAAAGCATTAGAAAAGATTCCAAATAATAACAATACAGAAGACGAAGATGCTGAATTGGCTGATTTGTGTGAACGTGAAATGATAAAAATCCAAAATAACATTCCACAAACTTCATCGATCATTATTGTTCCACGACCAGATACGCCTAATAATCGTCCAATGACTCCAACAATTGCTCGTGTCTTAAGAACAGAAGGTGTTGATGTTAATCGTGCAGGAACGCCTTTTTCTCCAGCAATGTCCACTCGAATTCAATGTCAAGCTACGACTCAATTAGGAGCACAGTGTCGCAATGCAGCTCTTGTTGGTTATACAAAATGCAAAGTACATAATTACGACTGAGACTTTCATTTATTTTTTTTGTCAAGTAAGTTTAACCGAAGAACAGGAACACTTATTGATAATATTAAGTTTTTTTTTTCAAAGACAAGTTTATAGATTTTTTTAAGGCATTTAATAATTAATAACTTCTAGATTTATTTATTTTTATTCCGATGAAGAATAAAAACTTTTTGAAGCCAGACTAGATAGATCGTAAAATGTGTTGCTAATGTTTGATTGCCTAAGGCGTTTTTAGTGAATTTCAGGATTTCACAATCTTGAGAGAGTTGTAACTAGAAAGATTTTATTACAAATCTTTGATATTTCAAATTAATCTCAAGATTAAAATAAATCTGGGGTTTAAAATTAAATCGTGGGGTGTAGAAAAATTAAGATTTTTCAAATTCACAAATCAGTGGAAAGTCATCAACAAAGTTTTTTTAAAAACAGCATTTTTAAAAGAAAGTCAAAGCGTTACGTTGCTTCTCTACGTACCCCTCCTCTTATTCAGAAGCGGTATTATAAGTGATCTATACCTTGTACATGAATTGAACAAAGTTAAAACACTGGCAGATTTAAAATGAAAAAAAAAAGAATAGTAAATTAAAAAGGCATTGCAGTACATGCGTTTTTTTTGGAATTTATAATGACCTTTTAAAAGCTAGATTAGGAATAAGTCCTGGGATTTAAAGATTTGTATATGATACAAGTAGGACATCTCAACTCTCTTATAATATTAGATTAATTGACATCTAAAAAAAAGTTTAGAATAAGATCTATAACTGTTGCAACATCCAAACCCAGCTTTAGTTGTAGCTTCGATATACAACTTTTCAATGAATGAATTGCAGTTCTTCCCGACCTCTGTTATTGATACTTCATTTATTTTGAATGAACCTGTTTGCTTTGTTTATGCTTCCCTTTAAAGTTTATATATATCAAGCATAACGTGTTTGTGTACACATTCGCTCAAAAAAAAATATATATATTTTTATCGCATGCGCACGTGAGGGTGAATTTTCTTATCCCCTAACATTTTTTTTCTTCTGTGCTCACTCTCAATTTTTATACTCGACATATTTTATGTTTCTCACATTCTATCGTGAGCCTTTCTAGCGTTTAGAGTTGCAAAAAAAAGAAATATTTTTGAAAATGTAATTTTATAAAATTTATTAATAATTAATATTTTTGCCAAGTTTAAAGTGCTTCTTTGACTTCATTTAAAAGAGATAGAAAAATTCACAAATGGTGCACTAAAAAATTTTAAAAAAATTCGCTGTATTGTAAGCGATAGAAGTGATTATCCGCAAAAGTGGTTCAAGGTTTTTCGTGTGGAAATAATAAGAAGATAAAAGATGAAGTGAAATGTTAAGAAGAAGTACATCCTTCAGTGTTATTATGAGAGAATTTTCTTTGGCGTGTGTACGGAAAGCATTAACGTCTTCTTGTTCATTGCTGATATTTCATAATACATAGAATATGTAAGGACGATCCAAAAAATTATGAATACATAGCCGTGATAATGAATAAACATGCGACCACAAAAAGGAAGACATGCCATTATTATTATCGAACAAATACAACATGAAATGAAAGAGAAAGTGAAGTAATACTAATCATATCAAAATTGGAACTAATTTGCAGTTCATTTACGACGTATTTTGTGTGGATGAAAATTCATTAAAGTGAAATTAGATATCTTAAGGAAGATGATCGATAAGAGACAATTTGGTATTGTTATTATTGCTTTTAGACTGTTTACATGTTATGCTGCTATATCTACAGGTAAATAATCCTCAACTTTATAGTTTTCTTAGGGTCGTTCATAAACGATGTCAACAAAATAACAAACTTATTACTTTTAACAGGAATTCTATTGATTTAAAGCTCTTTATCATAATCCTCCCACTTTTGACATTATTTATGATCGATCCAACTAGTTATACCCTTGAAAATGCTTCACTTTCAACTGCGTGCGCTGTATACATTTTCATTTCATTTGTTAATGTCATTTGCATACCGTCATACCTAAAACTTATGCGAAAGAATTTCTACAAATTCATTAAAATGAGAAATGTAGCATGAAATTGTTGGTTTATCGTTTGTGATTTCTCATCATACTTGAAGGACTTTTAAGGTGCGTCAAGTCAGCTAAAACTATTTTTTGCATGATAACATTCTGAGATTTAATAAGATTAATTGGGTATAGAATATTCAATTTAATGCTGAAAAAGCCAACAAAGGAAATACATAAGAAAAGAGAGAATCTTATGTACAAAAGGAAATTGGGGTAAATGGACAGTATTGATTTCGTTACAGCTACTGAAACGGCTGTATGAACTAGTTAATGGAAATGTGCTGCAAAATCTGTGGCAGTGGTTTTTTTCTCTTCTTTTGTTGGGATGAAAGTTCTTGATGATGAGGGTACTAGATTTGTTCTTCTTTTTAATTGCTAATGTCCTTAGAGTATACATCTTGTGAACATACAAAACAATAGACTTCTTATATGTAGATTCTGGATATCATTGATTCGACTCTATCAAACTAGATTATATGCTCTATATATATAATATTCAAGTAATGATTGAGATCTATCACTGCTGAGGGTTGAACGACACAAAGAGAAGGTTACAGATTGGTAATCTCTTCTTTAACTACTTAGCTACAAAGCCTTACTCGATATAACAGATTCATATTCATAACAAGTAACCAGAAATTTGAAAAATTAGTTTTAAATTAGTCTATAAGAGTTCCTTTTTAGAAGATTGGTTACTGAAATAGTTGATAAACTAGGTTTTACTCTCCTCTAACGCCACAAACAGTTTAGTAATTTTTGAATAAAAGGCACTAAAATTTATTCAATAGCCTTATTTCTCAAGACCTTATTTGTTATACAATGAATTAGCCATTAATAAATGTAGTTTTTCAACCGTAAGTAATTAAGATTGAACTAATGTGTCTCAATAAGTTTTGCTTATCGGCACTAAAAATAAAAACCGACTTTTTCGTGACACAGTCTTATTGTATTAGACATGTCACAACGTTCTTTTATAACGAAATAAAATATAATTGAGAAAAAATAGTGAAGTTCAAGGTTAAACCTTCAATAAAATGACATAAAACTTACTAAAATTTTGTAATATAATAGCTATGTGCTATCATTGCTACCATTTCTTATGTTATAAATAAGATGTTGAGGTCTTCAAGTCGATCAAAATGTTCAAAGTCCTTGAATAATTTGATCTAGATTGCTACCGAACTTGAAACTGTCTTTGATTAGCTATTAGGTCTAGAATCTAAATGATACCTTAAAATTCCAAGCTATTAAGACTTTTTGACAAAATATCTTGGTATTTAAGATATCTTCGAGATCTAGCTGAACAAAAACATTTTAATTTGTTTTATCATTCAGTAGAACAAATTTTTTCCTTTTCAAACTTCAGTCAATAATGTAATCTAAAGATTGCTTTAGATTCTACTCAAGAATGTAGATCCAGGTTTGAATCATTTCAATGCATCAATCTTAATGAAAATGTATTAACTTTTGATTTGTAAAACAAATGCTGACAACTCGTTACTTTACATGCTTATATTCATTCTGATACTAATTTACGTTAATTGACACTGATTCCTAAAATTGAAAGCTATTGTATTACTTTAAAAACAAGTTTGGCATTGAATATATCAAAATCAAGATCACAAATTTGAACTCAATTTCCTTTCCAAATCAACAAAAAAAAAAGGAGAATCAGCAAATAGTAATGAAACTTTATACAGCGCATGAAAGTCAAATAAAAATCAAATTTTATTTCCGTACTTCCGAAAAAACAAACAAAAAAGCAATAAAAAATGAAAATTTGCAAATCTACGCAAAAAAAAATCAGCACACAGCACAGAACTGATTAATAAATTACATAATTTTTCTTATTCGAAAAACAGAATTAGTTGAGGAATGGGGTTGTTACGATAGCGAATTTAAGTTGACATGCAATGATATAGACTCAAAGGTTGGGATATTGGAAGCGACATTTACACCACACTGTGAGAATCAAACTGGCAATCAAAAATGTTTATATTACGACGAGGACAGGTGAGTGAAAATTTCTTTTTTACAGTTGTTCCTATAAATATAATTTATGGCCACATATTATTATTGTTTGAAATAACATTTCACGGTGGTGGCATAAAGGCTGAATAGAAATTTTTATTTTATGGTAGCTAATTTGCTTGTTCCTTCCTTTCATTTTCATTGTCAGTATTATGAAAATTATTGCTCAATCATTGAGCAGGAAAGCAGATACTTATGAAGAAGAATATGCGGCACGAAAGTTGTTGGATGTCTTACGGAATGCACGTTTGAGAGAACAAGAGCATAGTGAGACGGAGGAAGCAGAAGCAATCACTAGCGAGTATCGATCTGAGTTCCTTCACAGTACAGCCGTTTATGATCCATCTACTATTAATGAAAATGCAGAGAATGTGTCGCTGGATTATGACGTGGGAACAAGAAGTGATAAGAGGATCATAAGAGATTCTTTAGAAAAATTAATTAGTCTTTATCTTACGAAACTCAAAGAGGATAGTATCGAATACAACCTTGACGACAATCATGTAAGGCATAGACGTGATTTGAGCAGCACATTGCCTCAAAAGCGTAGTAAATTAGAACCAGGGAAATGTACAACCATGAGACGACGTGTCGGAACTCTCGACCGGATTGAATTGGAAGGAGCCCTTAGAAATCTGACCAATACGGAATTTAATATCCGTAAATTACTTAATTATAGGTCAGAAATTGTCTAAGTGTCATAAATTTCAATTGTCTATAATTTCTCATTCCCATGCTTATTTACGGTCCATATCTAGGTGTTCGGGAAAGAACCACTGCTCATTCATATTCAGTAATGATCATCCGTACAGTACTTTCTGGGATGAGGGTACTGTACACATTAAATACATTTGTATGGATAGTAAGTATTCGTGAATTAGTATCTTGCTTTCAAATCATGTGACACACGGCGATCTCTCTTAATTTATATTCCATGTGTGTTTGGATTCATTTGAAAATTATGTCATCAGATAATAATAATTGATAAACCCTCCAGTCGCTTCCAATATGAGCATTTAAATTTACGATCTGTCATTAAGTTAAATGCAATAAATATCGAAATGTGCTGTATACACGAAATAATTTTGAGGTCGAATGCAATTGGCGTGATGCAATAGAAATCCCATAAAGAGGGTTGGAAGTAAGCAGAACAATTGATGTCTGTTATTCTAATATGAGATAATATTTGGCTTTCGATATTAAGCTAGAGTAATATTTTCAAACGTGTGTTTATTTGACACAACAATCTAAACAGATGCATGCATTTTTAAGCAGCATATTCAGCACAACCTAGCATATTTTGTGTGACCGTCACGGGAAGAAGAAGCAATTTTTCTCTCCTTTTGTTTTTACGATCTGATAACATGTTATACACATTAATTTTTTTCGAACTGTATATATGCACTTCCCCTGCCACTCGTTATAAAATTTCTACCCTTATCGGTGAAATAAGCAAGAACATCTCTAATTTTTTCAAATAGGTAGACAAACTGTGTAAAGAAAAACAATGCAAAGTGCATTAATTCAACGGAATAAAAGAGAAAGAAGTGCAGATGAGAATGTTCAAAAGTAGTTCAAGTAGAAGATTAAAGCGCATGTATGGTGTCTTAGTCGATGACTGCAGTTCCTTGCTGCATTAAGAATCGATTAACACACTTAACATCTTTATGACATTTAAATTTCTTGAACTAAAATGAGATGAATTTGGTTTACTGAACGGAAATTTTGATTTAAATTATTTTTTAACGGATTTTCATGTCAAGCATGTCAAGTCAAAATGAACTCACCAAACAACATTAATATTGCTAAAATTGCATAATGTGGCAGAGAGAACTTAAAAACAATTTTAAGGAGGGTTGGAGTTGAATAGTGCTTGTATGTTTTGATGATAAATTGCAGTTTGAAAAGAGAAGCATGTACATGCCGTGAACCTCGAAAAAAAACACATCTGAGTCCAATATTTATGCAGTTTTTTTCGACCATATTGCTCATTTAATTCGATGAACTCACAAAGGACAAATAAAGAAAGAAAAGGAGAGAGTAATGTACATAAAATTGAATGCTATTTTGTGGGCAAGCTGAAAATTGCATTTGAGAATTGTTCTCTCTCATGTTAAATGGGCTGTAATGTATGTTTATAATCTATTTAACAGACTTTCGGGTCAACAAATATTGCGGTGAACTACTTCAAGTTGGCAACGAAGATTGGGATTTAAGGAAGAATATCAATTGGACGGAAATTATTAAAAATAAGAAAGATGATGAGGAAGAAGATGAAATTGAGTTAAATGGCCCAAGAACCTCAGCACTTCGTCAAAATGAAATGAATTTCTATCAAGTAAAGAGTGTAAAAATCATAAAAGCAGCCAAGAATGAAACACCAACGGCAGCACCTCAGGCGATCAATCAACAAAATTCTACAAAATTGAATTTGAAAATATCCAAGCCAGTCGAAAGGGAAAAGGATAAGACGAAAAGTAAAGTCTACTCGCAGGTAATTTAAAACGTATTATTATTATTATTACTGTTTATTGCGAATGTCATGTCACTTCCTTCATAATACAAACACAAATTCAATTGCCTACAGGATTTCAGACTATTGAAAATTTTGCCAAACGAAAAGCCAGCATTAGAAATTGAAAAATCAATGAAAAAAGAAGACGAAATAGAGTTGAAAAAACAGACAGAGTTAGAGGAATTAATAACACATCAGATTGATGCGGCAATCGAAACGAATGAGATAGATTCAGTTTTATTGACGACTACTACAAAACCCCAGACAACAAAATTTACATCAAGTATTATTTCACCAACATTGGATATTTTCACAACAGCGACTGCTATTGGCAGCAATGAAGAAATAACGATTACACAGAAGGTCAATACAGAACAAAGTGCAACTATTATTGTAACAGATGATGATGTGATGATAACGGAATATAAAGACTTGGAGAAGACTGTGACACAGCATGCTACATTGGATATGGACATTCAAACTGATATTATTGATGTTACAAAAAGTGACGATGATATCGTACTAGTAAATGATACGATATTAAGTATTGACTCACCAGAAAAGGGAAAGTATGGTAAGGATGAAGAAAAAAGTTCTGAGAAATCCGATTCTTATGAGGATTACGATGAAGAAGAGGATCAAAAACCAACAAATGTTAAACATAAAGCACATCAACATACACTGCCAAGCAGTACACTTTTACATGGATTTATTGCCAATCCTGGCTATCCATCGTATTATATTGGAAGTGATAGGGACTGTAAATGGAAGATAATTATAGCAAAAGGACAGAAAATGATGCTAACGATTCTAGATCTGCATTTGCGAGGTAAGTAAATTAATTGAATCAGTGCCAAAATCGATAACAATCCAATTGTATCTATCTCATGCATGCATGCAGTTGATGAATATTGTAAAGATTCTCTTGAAATAATCGATCTCGAGAACAAAAAGAGTTTATGGAGAGGATGTTCAGAATTAACACGACCCATACAGCTACAGTCCCTGTCTCATCAAATTGAAGTAAGTTATGAAATTCCTTCATATTTGAAAAATTGGAAACATTTTCTTTTGTATTTTCCCCCTTTTTTACCAAAATCCGGAAACTTTTTTTGTGCCTTCAACAAATGTGACTGACTGACTCGTGCGTAGATTGTACTCAAAACTAAGTCAAAAAATATTTATCCAAAGAGGGGATTCCTGATTCATTACAAAGGTAAAAAACTCATTGAATTCTTTATTTTGGATATAAATTTTTATTTAAGGAACTATGGCAAATTCTCTAGAGACTTCAAAAGGATGTTTTCTTCTGTTTGAGAAGAAGACGAAGAAATTAATTTTCTCTCTCTTTTATGCTTTGATTCTATCGACCATACATATTGACGCCAATGAGCGTTCTATTGCCGCAATTCGGCTATGCTGAGTAAAATTTCAAGGCCTTCACGTTATAAATATAAAATTTTTTATCTCGGCTATTAACTACTATATGAAAGAATATATAATATTTGCTATGTCAATTTCTACATGCTTGTCGGGAAAATGAGGAAAAATTTCGAAAATGAAAATTATGAGAGAAAGAAAAAAAACAACAAATAGGCAGAAGATGTAGAATTATATTTCCTCATCAACCCCACATAAACGTGCTTCATGCTTCCAAGTGTTGTTTCTATTTTTTTCCTCGTTTCATGTGGCAATGACTCGTTCTCAAAAATAAAGTATCTTTTTTGAAATTTGTAACACGAGAGAAAATTTATATATGTTTTTTGGGGGGATATAGTTATTGGATGCTGTCTGTCTTTGGATGGTTTGGGCATTTTAGTAATAAACTGATTTAAGATTTAGACTGAAATTTCGATTTTAAGAATTAAGTCAGAAGGAAAAACTAATTTAGAGCTTACTTAAAATTTTAAATCATTTTCAAAAAGCAACGGTTTTCAAAAGATTTAATTTTTTGCTGAATTTTGAATTTTTGACCGTCAAATTAACAGAATCTGAGTGATATTCCCCTCAATTAAATCTAACCCTGATATTAATCCTACGATTAAAATTAGGTTTAAAATAAATCTAACCTCGTGGATTTGAATTTAAATTATCAAACATGTGATAAGAACTTAAGTCACACAAAAGTACAGACAACACACAATCAACTTCCGTTTAACTTCCCATATCATGCATTCTAGTATTATGTTTAGCCTAAAAGGAAGAAACAATTTATGTGCAATGCACGAAAAGAGAGAGAAAATTTCACAAATATTATTGCGCTCGAAAACATTGCTTTTCGAATGGGGTGACTAGCGGTAACTTCATTTTTAGCATAAATACCTAGACATACAGAAAATATGAAATTATTATGATAAGTTATTCACTTAATTTGCTTATTTTGATCATAAATTTAATTGTTATCACTTTATTATTATTCATTGCGATACAAATGGAATTGAGTCACACGCTAGTCACCAAGACATCTGCTGAAAAAATAAAATTGAGAGCAATTGAGAGAAACGCAGAACAAACAATTTCATACTCAAACTTATATAAAATTTTATCTGAAATCTTCAGAAGAAATCTTTGCGGCGTGAAGGAACTTTTTGTTTACGACTTTTTATGTCTATCAGTTTAGTAATAATAAATTAATTTGTTTACTGTAATTAGCAATTGGATGTGTTGTTCCACAAATACCTGAGCACGTTAAATTAGTGAATCGCTTGGAGAATTTATTGAGATACAATTGTGAAGAAAACCACGTTTTCCCCGATACGTCGCAAAGCGATCGTACGCTAATCTGCATTAACGAATCTTGGAACGATACATTAACTAAGTGTGTTGGTAAGTTGAAGAGATTAAGTTATCAATTGCTTGATAACAGCACTCTGATTTACTCATGACTAACTACTGAATTATATATTGTGATTTCAGCTGTGCACGAAACTTTGGGACGGCACATTAGTCTAGTGAATGAGCAATTAAGAAGAGAAGGAGCAAAAATGACAGCCGAAAATGATATGTTGAGTGGTAAGTCCAAACAATCGATCGTCATATAAACATTAGTTTATTGATTTTCATCTCTTCCTTTGTAGATATTCTCGTACCAGTGTTCATCATCTCTGGGCTATTTATCCTCAATGCTATTGTCTTCATAATTATACTTAGATATCGCAAACATCGACGAGATGATAATTTTGATCGCGAATTAGCCGAGTTGTAGGATATTGGATATCCATTGCTTGATTGAGATGATATTGAATAATAATAGCTATAAATTTGTGAGAAAGACTCTTTCTCTCTATTAAAGTCTCTTTAAATTCACTCTCAATGTCCAATTCGTATTAGAAAAAACACAAATATAAATCGCTTTTCAAAATAGGCAGGCAAGTGGGCAAGCAAGAACAAAATTTACACAATTAATAAATAAAACAACTTGTTAAAGCATTGAATGATCTATCTAAAAAGTCACAAGCTAAATATTTTTGCCATTTATATATTTAAAATATATTGAAAAATAAACACATATAGCAATATAGAGAATGAAAACTATTGATCAAGAAACTACTAGTAGAGCAAGAAATGATGATGATATTTACAGCATGAACTAAATTCGTATTGATAAGGTAGAAATTCAGACTATGAAGAATCTTTTATTTTTTATTGCAATTAAATTTGCTGATATTATAAAACGAAATAAACATGCAAATTCTCAGACATAGCATTTGGGAATCTGTTGCTTCAATTAAACATTTGTCACGTGTTTTAATTTTATTTTTGTCAATTTAAGGAGCAATTTGTTGCAGGATCAAGGACATTTTTCGTAATATTGAACTGGATTCTATACTAAATAGGAATTGTATCAAATCTCATGCTTATGTCGTATTTTTTGAGGTAATTATGATGACCAAAAAACAATTTTACCTTCTGACTTAGCCGGCAAAATTAACAAAATTAATCCACTTCAGATTGTTTCTATTTTTAACGGTTGGTAAAAATTCAAATTGAAAATAAAACTTTAAATGTTTCAAAACCGTTAAGATTATTTTGAGCAGCCGACAAAAATTATCAGTTGGTTCAAGAGATTACTGCATGATTTATTGAATAAAATCTTAGTGGTGCATGAAAAATTCTTGACTAGGTGATTGATGTTTTTGTTTTTAAATTAAATGTTTCAGAAAATTGGTATTAATTCAGTCAGGTGATTTAGGGGTCATTCACAGTTGCGTAGCAACAGTCAGTTACTAGTTGACATTTATAGCTTCTATTCTACAAGATTCACAACTTATTGAGAGGACATCATTATCATAAACCCTCCCCCCTCCCCCCTCACTCTTCCTAAATCCCATTACCATTATTCCTGATTACCAAAACTCTCTTGATATTTATGACAATAAACAATAAAAATTAACAAGACATCCTAAACTTAATAGTTATAGTCACAACTAAATTTGCGAATAATAAAAAAAACTCCAAATCATTCATAAAAGTCAAATTTCTCATCGTAAACGTCAGTAGAAGATTGTCAGTGAATTTTGCAACACGGCACATCAATTCAGCTTTTATGAGGCTTATAAAATAGATTCCATTTAAAATTATTTTCATAACATCCGTTAAACTCGCGACACATTTTCTTCTCTTTCATCATCATCACCATTTATTAATAATTTCATTGAAGAAGTGCGTTGTTATTGCTCAATGTTGGCATCTTTCTACAAGACATGCCACAACATAGAAGATTGATTCATCAACAAAAGCCAGGGAAGCATTTACAGCATAATGTCACTTAATTGAGAGCGAAAGATACTGAATGTTGAGATGAGCAAAACACAGTGGAATGGATATACAAAAAAAAGCTCAATAACGTTAATATCTTATTATTTGAAGAAAAGAGAATGTAAGGTGAGCGGTTTTTATAGTATTTGATAATCTACTAGCTTTTCTTCAATGAAATAATAAATAAGTAATGATTCAGATGTGCACAACACCATCAACATCTCTATTGATCTACAATGGTGTTTTTTCTTGATTTCTTTTTGCTTCCATATTTAACATACATGGAACAATTCAATCTTTAGAATGAAAGTTGAAATAAGTAGATATTCTTGTGTTGGATTAATCCATTAATGACGTGCAGCGTATCAGAATTTGTAGAATTCATAGTTTTGTAACAGTTTTTAAATTTTTAAATTCAAATCTAAAATAAATCATAGCAATTTCCCTTTTAACAGTTCGCAATTTTTAACCCTTTGTGTTTTGAAGAAATTTGCTAAAACTGCTTATTTATTTGTCAACTCTCGAAAGAGCAAGACTTCTTAGCAAGTATTCTTAGATTCTTTATTAAATCTTATTATAAATCACGTGTTTTTGGATATTTCGTACACTTAAAGGTAATTTGTAAGTATTTAAAATTATTTGTTAAACAACAGATTTTAAACTTTCATTGTAAGCAAACTAAAGCTGTTTGTTGATAAACAACCGTAAAACAGCAGTCTTAAAAACTTATTATATTGACAACATCATTTAAAAACTCACCTTAAGATGATCAACACTTTTTTCTGCCACTTAGATAAAATTCTTAAAGTAATTACATTCATCAATGGATACTGAGATTTAATACATTTGACATTTCTTGGAACTATTTTTTTAAGGTTAGCCAAAACCAATTTATTCCATTCTCTATTGATGATCTTTTAGTAAACTATTCCAATATTAGTAGATTCCTTTCAAATGTAATAGCTACCTACCTAGATTTTACGAGTTATGAAATTCATACAATGCATAAATAAATGCAACACATCTCCTATTTAAATAATTTAATGGCATTTTTTATAGAGATTGAATATAATGAGAAGATTTTTATCGAAGTGTTGGAAGGTATGAAGCAGCACTTGAAATCAATATCTTGTAATAAAAATGCCCTTGTGTGTCTATCTCATCTTTTTGGCATAGCAATAGCTTTATTTTGCATGGTAAAAAAGTATTAGAATGGGAAGTATAAGAAGAAGAGCTTCAAATGTAGAATTTTCATTGTTTTATTCCTTTTTGTGTCAGACAAAGCTTCAATCACTAAATTTTAATAGTTTGTAGCAGAGGGCGAAGTCGACTCGGATTTTGTATGGAAAAGTCGACTTGAGTTCACTCGACTTCATACAAATTTCGAGTCGACTTCGCCCTCTAGTTTGTAGCTTTAATAGAACAAAAATGTGCAATACATTAGTAAATATGAGGCATATATAAGGACGATTCTACGAATGATTTTTTCTACAAATTTGTCTCCAAATCTATATTCAGTTGCATTACTCCCCATGTTTCATGTATTTAATAGTAGATTTTACCGATATCTACATATTGTTCTCACCCAAACATATTAAAAATGGTTAATTAAAGAATTATTTACATTCTACGAAAAATTACTCTGTTTCACATGAATTTTTTCGCCCAAATTTCCAAAATGTTTTCATTAATATCTTTAAGGTGGTAAAATTTCCAGTAATACTAAGTATACAAAGTTATAGCTTAAAGTAAAAACTTCAAAATGACGTCAAAATCATATTTGTGGAAGCCTTAATTAAGCTGCAATTTGGATTCTACGAAAAATTTCATAAGTGAAACAGAGTAACTTGGAGACAATTCCAAAAAAAACTACCAAATATTAAAATTAAAACCATGAATTTCTCAAGCCATAGCTAAGTAATTTGAGTGCAGATGTAATCATAATTCACAGTTTAACCAATAGAAAAGGAAATGAGAATTAGATTTTTGAAAAACTATGCACAAGTGAAAATAAAATAATTAAAAAATTCATGCAATTGACACGGATTATTTTCATGAAATCTTTTCGTAGAATTGCCCCTAAGCTATTTTGTTAAAACAAATTAAAGTCATCTCGAAAAATTTGTTAAAAAATAGAGAACAATTCAATCTTTAATGTCTGTACACATCTTCGATCTTTTTATGACTCGTGATTAATGTTTCAACACCAAAATCAAACGAAATTATTTAAGATGAACCGAAGAAATACTTAAGATGATGTATTAAACGTCTATTATTAGATGTTATGCTCATTCTTTCTCTTTTATGTTATATTTTTTCTTTGATATTTTTTAGGCATCAACACTGCAACGAGTTTGTTGGCGATGGAAGAATTTAATGGAATGCTGATTATTTCTAGTTCTCAATTCATCCAATCTTTTACGGCCATTGAGAGAAATAAAGTTGAAACATGGAAAAAAAAATAAAAAATTATTCCGAGAAATTTTTAGTGTAATCATCATATGTATATGGATGACTGCTCGCCGTAGTGGATATCAGGTTGTTTTACAAGCGGCAAATGGAACTGGTAAGAAAGTCACTTGCCTCAATTTTATGTTTTTTAACAGTATTTATGAAATTTTAAATTTTGACTTTAGCAATCTCAATTTTTGTGATGATATCAAGTTTGCATTCAATAAATATAGCCGTCCTCAATATAAAATTATAGTAAACTCAAGAACAATATAAGGTAGGTTCAATATTTACTATAGTTATTAAAGATCCAGACAACCAAAATGATTTCCATTAACTCATTTCCATTCCAATGAACACTTTAAAACATTAAGAAATGTGATAGCAGTGATCTGAAAATGAAAATCAGGTTGAAATAGACTTCACATATATAGAGAGTCGATATTTCTCATAATGAAAAAGTCAAGTTGTTTCTCATACTCTTGCAAGCCATTCTCTCACCTATCTCCAGATTTTCGTGTATAAACAACACGATGCTGTCGATAATAAGTTGAATCTAAAATTAAAATAGAGAAGCTGCATTTACATATTATGGCATTCAAATTAATCAGACTTTGTTCATCCTTAAAACTTAAAATGACAGTTTTTTTGTCATATCTGGAAACATCTAGTCGTTTCTAAACTTTAAGCTTTGGTAGAAAATATCAAAAATTAGATACAGACGAGGGGGATAACGACATGATGAGGAAAAATTCCAAAGGGGCTCTTATTCATGTATTATTAAGTTCCAAGAAGTTTTGATCAAAAGAACCTTTTTGGCGTGAGTTCCTTGACATTTGCATTAACATATTGATTAGAGATTGTTGTGAATTTGATATCAAACTCTTCCCATCATGTTGTTTTTTCCTCAAGCACAGAAAAAAGCCTGATAACGATTTTAAAATCGGTTCCATCCGAACTACATCATTTTAGTTGTTCGTCTATGCTAAATAGATGTAGTCGGTGCTGAAAGAAGTCGCATTTTTATGTATATGCTGTATTCAACCTAAACATCTATTCACCTCCAACTTAAAAATATGCTATTTAATTTAATTCAATTTTCCCACATCAAGAACTGCTTCCCATAATTAGCATTTAAATTATCTACCTTCAAAATATATTAAGTTACTTGTGTATGTACAGCAAAGATATCACGAGAGAGGAGAGCAATGTATTGAGCATTCACAAAACAGAACTAAGATTTTTATCTTGAACGTGCAATAAACAGTATTTACAAGTTAAAAGCACAGCTTGCTGTTAAGCTCATTTCTTCTCCTTTAAACATCTTGATATAGCTGAAATTATAATGTTGGACTTACCTACTCTATTGCGTGTCTTTGAACTTGAGACTGAATTTGATATTTTTACGAGTGTGTATCATTAATGGCAATAATGCTTTATAGAAAGCTTCTCTAAATATTTATTTTTTGCGGGTCACATCGATGAATGCCTACCAAATATTCATGAATGTTG